TAGTCCCGTTGACTTTCATTCATTTTTTTGTACTTCCAGGGACCCATGAGCCGACCGGAAAGGCAGGTGACGCGGTTATGCTCTACAGTGCCCAATGGAGCGTCTACGTATTAACGTCTATGGATGAAACCATGACATCTGCTCTGTAGCAGAAAATCCTGAAGGAAAACATCTGACCTTTGACCTTAGACAAGTCATTCATGCTGGAAAACCCTTCTATGTGGCAGAAAACTATTCTGTAATTAAGAGTGGGGAAATTTTTCTCAACATTAATGTGAGAAAGTCTTCACCAGGACCCAGTTGTTTCCTCCAAGGGCGAGACAGCCAGTTAGCAGGTTTACGGGTGATTTATTTCCAAACGTTGGGCCAGGTTGGTTTGGAGGTTTAAAATAAATAAAATCACTATTTACACGGTATACTGTAGTTACCTTTGATACTGAAATTGGTTTGCTGATCTGTGTCAAAATAGCAAAAACAAAAGAAATAGGTAAGATGTTGAATACTTCTTCCCAGCACTATGGCGTGTCTGTACAGCAGCATCCATTTTGGACCCACACCTCATCTCTAGTCACATGTCTGCAGTCCTCAACATCAGAATCATTTCTGCAGCAAACACGACTCAAACACACACACCTCTTTCAGTGTCAGAGAAAACACTCACAGAAAAACAACAGTCCTGATGTGGAACCTCCAGAGGTGCGGGCCGGGACACCTCTGTTGTGACACAGGCCAGGGGCGTGTCTGTGTGCTCCTACTAGCACTATTAGCAACATACTGACATCTGTTAGCAACATACTGACATCTGTTAGCATGCACGTGTATTAAACACACCGGCAAAAAACCCCAGTCTTGCAGATTAAAGGGGGTGCGCGTGCTGTTGTGATCGGTATACGTGTGTTAGCCACGCTGCTAACTTCCTAGGCCCAACCTGGACTTAGACCACGTGGTTTCTCCGGCTAGTGGCGCCATGCGCATCCCAGCAGCCGGCTTCTCGTCAGCCACACCTAGTCGCATTTCACTTATGACAGGCACTTACTTGTTTATCACCAACATGAATCAGGCCACGCACATCTTAAATGGTCTAACGTGACACCTAAGTAGTGACATGGCAGCAGGGCATCCTGGTCCAGATGGACAGCAGCAGGCTCCACTGATGCAGCGCTGCTGCAGATGCTGTTTATCTGGAGATGCTGCGAGGAGACATCAGCCCGAGTCCGGAGGGGTGTTTAACCTTCCTGACAGCTGCTAACCACCAGCCACGCTAAACAACTACTGCCAACGCACTCTCGCGACACTTTCTATCACTTAATTCGCTGTTTTTATGTTTACCAATTATTTTCCCCAGCAAATGATGTCAACCCAACAAAGACTTTGACCTTCTTTACAGACTTTACCCTGGAAACCAAACGCTCTCGTGTTGCAGCATCGTAATCACATGGCTTCAGATATCAGATTATCAAGTGGCATGTCCTGCTCCAAAACTATCAACCACGTACTTGCATCATCTCAGGTTGTCAAACACAAGAATGTAAACTCCGTCGCTTTTTCACCAGTGGTGCAAAAGAACACGACAACCAGGTTATCTAGATAGCCCCCGTGTAGTTAGCTGGGTAGCTAGCGACAGTCAGGGTTGAGCGAACGTACGCTTCTGGAGAAGAATAAAATCACACACACAAGATAATACTAGTCCCACACGAGTAAAAACTCACGCTGGCTTCATTATCTGGGGCTGAGTTTGTAAGTCGGACAAAATAAAAGAGCACCCACGTCGTCTTAGCATGGAATGCTAACTAGCAGTAGCTAATCCCTGAAAACACAGCGGGAACAGCATTTACTCAAGAAAGTAACAACTAGGAGGTTTTGTCCCCAAAAACATTTGTCACCGAAGTTCAAACCGCTCCCACAGCCCCTGGGTTCATGCGACGTGACAGTCGTGTGAAAAACCGAACATGTAAGGGAAAAGCGAGCCGAGAGCCGTGGTGTTACCTTTCTCTCCTCGAGTCCGCAGAGCCGGACGGACGGAAAGCTTCTCGGAAGCCGGTAGCTCGTATTCCGGCAAAATCCCATCACGTGAAAAATGTTCCAGCGGCTTCGTTTCTGCGCCCCAGGTGCTGTTTTGCTGTTCCCCGTCACCTCGGTGACAACACTTTTAGGAATGAATAAAGTATCACCATGTGTTTAATCCTGAACAGGCCTGAGTCCCACGTTTTAATGCCAGTGTACATTATGTTTCAATGAGGAAAACTCAACTCGTGTTTAATAGTCATGATTTTCACGGCTTACCTTCCATTTTTTATTTATTTATAGTACCCCAGCAGTGAATGTGACAAATATTATTAAAAACGAGACAATATTAAACATAAACAACTTCTCATTTTCACACACACACACTCATCTCTCACACACAAATCAATATCATCTTATTAAGGATAAGAAAATATCAACACACTGAAAAATTGCAACATTTCATCTTATGATATTGAATCGTACAGATTTTTGAAGGCAGTGTAGGCTATTGAGTTTTTAAATTGAGAATTTACGCAAACATTTACGGAATTTCTTTTGTGCGGTGCAATTCAAACTCTGACCGCTAGGTGGCAGTGGTTTTATCCCTGACAGAAAAACCGTTGAGTGTTGGGCCTGAGTAGGGCTGGGCGATACAGCCTAAAATCAATATGAAAATACTGACTTTAGTCTCATTATATGGTTTGGACTAGGGCTGGGCGATATGGCCTAAAATCGATATAGCGTTATATTGAGGATTTCACCTCGATAACGATAAATGGACGATAAATACAGGTATGCGCAGAAACAAGTTGTCCACTAGATGGGGCTGCCACATGTATTATGGTGGTACAGCTTCTTAAAGGGACATGAATGTTGCCAACCTGCACACATCTTCTCATTTTTTAGTATCAAATTTATTGACACGGGAAAACTATCTCGATAAGAGCCAGAAATTTTGATAACGATACATTTTCGATTTATTGCCCAGCCCTAGACCTGAGTTTTCCGTTTAAATTGGGTCAAGTTAAAATTGGAAATCCCACTAGCTGTCACACAGGTGTGTGTGAAATTTGTTCCACGTATTTGACCCATCCTCTGTGGGAGCGCCACAATGACCCGCAGACATAAGCCCGCTTGGGCACTATATGGTGGTTTGACCCATAATCCAACCTCTTAAAGCTGAGTGAGGAGCAATGACTGTAGAAAAATGTGGGGATGCATTGGGTCCCATTTTTAAAGTCTTTGGGTAGAACCCAATCATGGATTTTAACCCATGATTCCTGGGTGGACATTCATACCACTAGGCCACTGAGGTGATCTTAAGTCTTAAAATTTCAAATATTGTCTGGTTTTGGTTTCGACATTGAATCCATGTCTGTGGTTGCTCCTCCCTGCTGCAGATCAGCCAGGAAGAAACTTTTCCACCCTGCCGATTAGAAACATGCATGCAGATCACTCATCTGTTGTTTAATCTCGGCTGTTGGATGGAAAACATTTTCCCTTCCAATACATTTTTAATTGTTACTAATGTATGGTTAGTTAGATCCGAGACTCAAACGGTTTATTTATTTCATTAGACTGAAACAAGAATTAAAAATGACATTTGAAAGTAACATATGAATATTCAGTGTTTTATTACAGAGAACAAACAACAAATGGAAATAATAAAATAGGAATATGCTCCAATGTGGTGGCAGTGATGCGTGTTGCCACTTATTACACATATGAATGTTTGGATTTGAAGAATTGTCTAATTTTCCTCAAACATTTTTTCAGTTTTTAACTTTTCTCTAAAATGTTTTTTATTTCTTCCTCCTTTTTGGTTTGCAGCCGGAGGATATGCATGTTAAAAGTAAAGATCAGACCAAATACAGCAGGATCCATCAGGTTTTTGCATTTCAGACATGAGTCATGTCAGATTGCACCACCCCTGCAGGGTCAGCAGCTCTGTTCTGTTTACCTAAGCACAGGCTCTTTTTAGTATTCTGTAAAGGTTTAATTACAGGGTTTCATTAAATTTTCTTTTTGTATGGAGGATTCAGGTAAAGACAACTGAAGATTACACTGCTCCCTCTGCAGCACAGACAGGAGAACTGCAGACTGTCAATAAGAATTTAAGGGTACTGAATTGGTTTTCAACACCAAGAATTCAGTGCAACTTCATCAAAACCTCACGGTCAAAATGTGACTTAGTTTTCACCACACAAGGATGCAATGATTGAAAGAGGACATCCTCCTACTAGTGTTGGAGAATATGGATTGATGAAAAGCTCTCATTCAAATATTAAACCGTGATGTAATTGGACAACGGGCTGCGCAGTGGTTAGAGCTGCTGCCTTGTAGCAAGAAGGTCCTGGGTTCGCTTCCCAGCCTGGGATCTTTCTGCATGGAGGTTGCATGTTCTCCCTGTGCATGGCGTGGGTTCTCCGGGTACTCCGGCTTCCTCCCACAGTCCAAAACCATGACTGTTAGGTTGATTGGTTCATCTAAATTGTCCTTAGGTGTGAGTGTGATTGTTTGTCCTGTGTGTCTCGGTGTTGCCCTGCGATGGACTGGCTCTCTGTCCAGGGTATACCCCGCCTGATTGCCCATTGACCGCTGGAGATAGGCACCAGCCCCCACCACCCTACGTGGACAAGTGGGTTCAGAAAATGGATGGATGGTAGTTGGACCACATCAACCCTCCATAGAAAACATTGTTCTGGGGGAAACTCCCAGAACTATTACAGCTTTGTTCTGCCACCATCTGTATGACTACTAGTGGCTGCTTCTTTCCCAGTAGTTTGAGCAAACATGTTTGAAGGTGATCAAGCAGGTCTCTGGTAAGCCACTCTTGCATTCAGGTGGTGGGGTATGTAGTACCCAGCCTCGGGTAATGGACGTGAAGATGGATCAGCTCTGTTTTGGAGCTGGAGTTTGGCGTGATGCTCCAGTAGCTGCTGTCCAAAAGGGTTTAATAATGAGAAACACGATATATAACTGACAGTCACATCTTCAACAAAAGGATCTGTTTATTTGAACTCATTCTTTTACAGAACTATAACCAAAAAAAAAAACAGGAAAACTTGATGCAAAATACAAACTTGTAAATGGTAAAATAACAAAAGATGGCCGTAGATGTAAGTTTGAGGAAAACCGAGTTACTAATGCAGACTGAGGTGTGTGTAATCACCGACCTATGACCTTTACAGATGAGTGACGAGCAGATCCTGCTTTTAAGCTGATCCCAGGCCAGTCAGAGAGCTGGGTCCGGATCAGATTTACCAAACCAACTAGACCCAACCAATTCATGTTTAATGACTGCTGGAGGTGGGCTACAGATGGTGGATGAGGAAAGAAAGACCTGTCTCTTTGTTTTCAGCCATGCAATGAACTAAAAGACAACTTCCAGGAGGGCTACTCGTATAAACAAGGGAAAGCCAGTGAGAGGGAGCGGTCTAGGTTTCATAGTTGGGGTTCTTGCGGAGGATAACAAAGCCCTCCAGGATGGGCGTGACAGGGAGGTACTCCTCTGTGGCTAGCTCCGCCCTCTCTCCATGAGCCAGCAGCACTGGTGTGGTGTGAGTCTGGAACCCGGTGATAGCCTTTGGCTTTCCTGCCTGGCCAACAACATCCACAGCCTGTAAACAAACAACAGCCTGTTTACCATCAAGCTCATCCTGGCAAAGACCAGGTAGGAGGAGCCTAAAGCCAGAGATCTCACAATCACCATGGTAACTCTTTTATCCTCTGTTGTGGTAACAAATATAGAACAAAACTTTAAAAGAATAAAAATCCCTTCTGATTATTCCTTTAAAGCATCTTAAACAGAAAAAAATCAATGTGTCAAAAAACAGTGACTGAATAATTCCTAATGCTGTAGCTAAACCCTAGGGCTGGGGTAAACGATTATTCTGACGATTATTTTATCGAATAGTCGACTATTCTAATGACTATTTAGATGATTAATCTAGCGATTATTTTTTATTGCACCATTAATAAAAACCAAAAAATCTCAAATAAATTCCTCAAAAAAGTGATAAATTGTTACTGTAAGAGAATAAACACTACAGGCCTTCCATTTTGTATAACACTGCTTTTATTGTGTTGGTTGGTTATGTTCTGGTGACGTGTAGAACTTGGGAGTGCAGGCTGCTGCCCGAGAGGTGGTTGGAGACGGAGTGTCTCCATGCTGCTTTGTTTTGGTCACTTATGTGCGTGAGGCGAGTGGTGTTACGACCCTTCCTGGGGAGTTTGGCTCGTGTGCAAAAAGGAAGGGACAATAACGGGATTTAAAAGTTAAAATGATGATCAGGTTTATTTACAACTACAAAAAAACAAATCTTTCCATCCACAGGTTGGGAACAATAAAACTAATTCTGCCTGTGGGGAATTAAAACAAAGTACAAATAACCTGGGATGTCCCACTGGGCAAAGATTACAGGGTTCTGGACCAAAATAAGAATCTCCAAAGGTCCAACTCTAAACTGGGTGGTTAAACCAAACTCAAGGTGATATTTTAAACTAAACCGAAACCCACAACACTCTAAATGTAATAAAAGGGAGATCTGCACCACAAAAAAGATGAACTCTAAACCAAAACGTAACCGCTTATCCCAACGCAAGAAGCTGTTAGCGAAGATGCTAACAGTAGCTTTACCAACATTAAGTTCAAGTTACCAAGTTTAAATAAACCAAAAACACCCAGCAGCAAACAGACCAGCACGGAGGAGAGACTGCTACCACCAAAACAGCTCTCCTCATGTCTGAAAGAAGCTCCTTAATGAAGGGAGAAACGCTCCCGGTGGTTTTCTACATCTGCGGTAGAGACGGAGCAGCGCATCTGACCGGGGAAGCTGTTGCCGGGAGACGAAGGCGGGCAAAACAGGAAAGGAATAGTAGCGGACGGACGTTGTTCCGGGTCTTCGGTATTTGGCGGAGATGTTAGTGAAGGCGGAGAAGAGGGCGAACTAGAGGAAAAACAGGCAGATTCCTCCTCTATTTACAAACTCCTGGGGATGCAACAAGTGGGCGCGGTGCGTCGACTTCCGGATCTGACGTCGACGAATTTTTAGAATCGAGCCGTCGACGTATCGATGCGTCGCTACAGCCCTACTAAACACGCATGTTAGCGATGCTGAACGATGACCTAATAACCGACAAAGTTTCACTCGTGAGTTTCTGTGCCACCGACTTCACATTATGTAAAAATCTTATCCAATTTAAATCCAACCCATCAGATTTTGATCGTCTAATCCATAAACTGGCTGCCCCATTGTGGATTTTTACCCTTTAAAAATATTCACTTGAAAAAATTTCAACATTTAACTTCAGCAGATGTAACACACACACAGACACACACACACACACGCACGTACACACACACACACACGCGCGCACACACACATGCACAACAGTAAAACAGCTGACTGCTTTCCAGACGCGTTTCTGGTGAATTCTTCGGACATTTCTTTGTAAATTCTGGCATTAATGAGTCAAATAAAACAAAACCAATGAAAGTTTCTGGGTTCTACCTGTCCAACCCTAACAGACACCGGCAGAGGTCGGAGCTCCTCATCAAAAGTAACCAGCATGCGCGGCTGCATGGCTGCGACCAGGCCGTAGAGAATGTAGTGAGATTTACCCAGGATTACTGCGGAACACAACACAGGTGGATGAGCACTTCAGAACATCAGTGTGATCTCTTTTCGCACGACGGGACAGAAAAATCCACTCACTGTTCTTAACATCCAGGAAGGAGACTAGCACCGTGAGCAGCCCCGCCACAGCCACCGGACTCATCAGCTGCCTGTCACTGTGGTACGGACAGAGGGTGAGTGTGCCTTTGCCCAGGTGAGTCAGACCCTGTGGACCCACAACAAAGAGCCAATGAGCATCACTGAACCACGGAAGTCCCCAGCAGCGCGCCACGTGTTGCGCCACCCACCTGTGCCAGTCGGACCATGAAGAGGTTGTTTGGATCTTTAGCATGATACTGTGCTAGCTGCCGCAGCATGGCTGCCAGGCGAGCGTTGTTGGTGCCTGAGGAGAAGGAAGAATTTAGAGGCGTCCATCTTGTGTGTAAAGCTGTTCTTTACCAAATATCCCAGCATGTTAATCTAAAACCCTTTGTTATATTTGTTCAACTTAAAGCAAATGGCTCCAAAAACATGTACAATTACCTATTTAACATGTAAAGATGTAGTTTCTGTGTACTGAATCTTAGGCGGTGGCACCGAAAGCCGAGTGAAGTGTCATAAAAATAGCTCCAAGGTGTGAACACGTCTCCACTCACCACTGCCCACCATGCCCATAGCAAAGATGGAGTTGTGAGAAACTTCCGGGTCTGCATCGTGAGAAAACTTGCTAAGGGTGTCCAGGATGTTCAGACGAGGATTGGACACAGAAATGAGAGCCAGCGCCAGTGGGACGGCTCGTCTCAGGGTGGGCTCACCGTAACGGAGCTGAAAAACACAAACGAGTCGCCGGCAGCAACGATCCAGTCAAGACACAGGACTACTCTACTGATGTAAGCTGATGTTTTAGCATCGATGCAACAGAAATGAAGAAAAAAAGGATTTGTCCATTTCAAGTATGAAGAGATAAACTGCTTCTTTACATAATTGGTAGAAAGACAATTTTGTAAAGAATTTCAGCAAATAGGGGAATAAAACAAAGTAGTTTCACTGACCAGATGTCCAAATGTTCTCAGAGCCATCTCTGAACCAATCTCCTCCCCCATGGCAATCAGGGCGATCCCCAGGACAGCCACACCCTGAGGGGACATATCAACGTTATTGTTGAACCCCACCGTCCCAGCCAGTGGTGGTCCAACGATAGGGCCGCTCAATTCATTGAATTTTAATCCCAATTACGATCGGACTTTTAAACGATTATAAAAACAAAATAAGCAGATTATTTGCTCCTCCCTCTTGCGCTGCTCTGAGATGTAAATCAAGCGCTCCTCCCACAGTGTCGCCAACTTAGCGACTTGCCAGTTGCCAGTTCTTAAAGCTCTTCAGACTCCCTTCTTGACTTTTAAATCCTAAAAGTACCTAGCGAACAACCTAGCGAACAACCTGGGAAAACCCTTAGCTACTTTCTGGATAACCGTCGTCGACATTCCCTGCAGGTTAGCAAAACACTCAGCCTGCGCTCCGCACGTGGACGCACGCACACACACACGCACACACACGCACACAGCGCTGTGTCTGGGACAATAATTACATTAACTGATGGGACCTGTAAATAAATAGTTTAGAATTAAGTTACAAACATAAATCAGTTCTTCACGCTGATAAATAGAGATGAATTATTATTTATCTCTGAGTCGCCACACTAACCAGGACAAAATTATTACAATGCATCATTCTGTGAACTTCACTACAACATGAATGTTTTTATTTATTTCATACGTGCACTGTAACACTCTTGCTGTCAGTATTTGCAAGATGCTGGTTGGGTATTTGGGTGTGTACTAGGTACCCTAAACGAGTTAAACCTCTTTGGGTTTTTATGCTAGAACTCAGGAGTTGTTTTTGTGACGATCTTATATTGTTGTCCTGACTGTGTCCTGTGCAATTTTATGACAGAATAAACAAACAATAAAATCAACATTAATTAAAAAGTCACCTTAAATAATCCAGATCTCAAGTTCAGTCAAAATAATCATGATTAACATTTTTGCCATAATCGACCGGCTCTTTCCGACGTTTTAACCAAAACCCGAGGAAAAGGTACCGCTTCTCACAGATGGCAACATCCCGTAGTTCTTACCTGGTGGGAACCCATGTCTGCAGCCGGCTCCTTCTTGTCTTTGTCCTTTTTATCTTTTTTGTCCTTGTCTTCTTCTTTGTCTTTCTCCTTGGCTTCGTAGTGCTCACTGCAGATATGAAGAAGCTGTTGCACCTTCAGCACGTTACCAGAACCTGGAGCCGGGAGACAGTCTGGATCAGCTGCTGCAGCGCCGGGTCGAAGCTTGTGTAGCTCACGGGGGTTGAACGGAAGGTTTCGGATAAAAGGTCAGCAGCTGCTGGAACACTCACCTGCATAAGCACAGATGTCCACTAGCGTGTTGGCGAAGCTACGGAAAGGTTCAGGAACAACCTGCAGAGCTGCCAGCGTTGTCTCAATAGCTTCTCCTTTCCCTATGGACAGTAAAACCAGACATGTCAGACCTGGACTTGTAGAAAGTCCCAGAGAACAGAGTCAGTGAGAGTCCACACCAACCCAGGTGGTTGAGTCCCAAACCCAGAGGCAGCCAGCGAGCATACGTGTCCTTCAGCTCCTGCTCGTTCTTCTCCATGATGGTCTGGACAATGGTGGACGTCACGTCTCCGTTACACGATCCCACAGCGATCATGCCACACGCCAGCGCTGTCGCTCCAACCACCTGGAGATTTTAAACGTGATGTTAAACCGAGCTGCAGTAGGATTAAAATGTCACCTCAGCAGAAAAGGACTCAGACGTACCTCCATGCTGGATTTAGAGTCTCCCATGACAGGAAGGAGCAGCGAGAGGACATCTTCTCTGTTGGAGCCAGCATAGGCCAGACCCAGCCTGAAAACAAACACACCAAACCGTTTCAACATCAAATCCCTTCAGGAGTTTATCCACATCCAAAACAAACACGGACACAACTAAACAACATCAACGAGGGGAGAAACACAGATCGGATTAAAAGCACAAATCTTCTAGCAGAAGATCCAAACCACGGCTGTGATGTGGGGGAAACACTTTTCTGCATGTTTTCTACGTGTCTGATGACCAGAACCTCCAGGAAATGTGTGACAACTCAAACAAGCTGAAGTAAATCAGAACAGAGGAAGCGAGCTAGCGCGATCCTCAGCCTCAGCAAGCTCCTCCACGTGAAATCACGTCCGCAGAAAAGGTGGAGCTAGATGAGCAGAGTGACTCCTGCAAGCCAAACAACCAATAAATAAATAAAGTCACACCACAAAACAATCTCCTCCTCCTTCGGACTGAAGGTTAACTTCCTGTTGGAGCAGCCGGAGGCTGCACGGATCTACTAAACAGCAGGAGAGATGGAAGCGCGCTGCACATCCTCATCATCATCATCATCCTCATCCTCATCAGTGAGTAAATCCGTCCAAATGACAAAGTCGGATAACATGTTTACAGTGTTTTCTGTGTTAAATGATAATGGTGTGAAGGTCAAGTTCCCAGACTGATTGTTTTGTTAAACTAAAAATATGTTTCACTGTAATTTGGTTGAAATTTGTCAGTTTTCATAATATTTAGGATGTTTGTTGTTCAACTTATTAAATCATTATATAATAAAATACGTTTTAGAAAAATAAAACATGTGAACATGAAATTCAGAAAACTATAAATGATTTTGAGGAGAGTAAAATAAAGAGTTTCACAGGTTAGGACACATTTATTCACAAGCCACCGCGATGGAGGATTACAAACGTAACCACAGGATTTATTCCACGTGTAAGCATCCTCACCCAAATATGGCGCCTATCCTCATGACATTGCTGTTGTGGAGAACGTAATCGGAGAGTAAGGCGAGCGCTGGGTCACACTCGTTTCTCACACCGGAGTTCACGATGCCACAGGCCAAGAGGGCACCCGACTGCACAGACACACAGCAGAGGGTTTCATCCTTTTCTCCTCCACCAGGAGGTGGTCCGAGGGGAGGTTTAAGGTGTGGCAGACGTTACCTTGATGTAGTCTTCAGAAGAGTAGAGGTACTTGTCGATCTGAGTCAGACCACCATCCACATCCCAGAGCAGGATCATACCCAGAGATGCAGCTGCACTCAGCATGCCTACGGACATTCAAGCCACACGAAGCAGTTTTTTACACTTTAATGCTTTAAGTGGGGCTTCGTGATTGTGGAGGTAGAAACTTTACCAACTTATTTATTATTTATTTATTTATTTAACTTATGTTTTTCAGGAGGATAAACTGCTTGAGATGTAACATCTCGTTTTCGAGCAGGTCCTCCTTCAACACAACCAATAACAAATAAGGTGGCAGAGTTAGAAAGTTATAACAGACTTAAAAAAGAAAAAATAAGGAAAGTAAATAAATAATAACAGTAAAAATAACGATATGTATAAATATATATACACACACGTGAATATATGCGTACACACGCACATATAAATACACATATGCATGGATACATAGATACCCACACATGTACATACGTATGTAAATACCTATATACACAATTAAATTAAATAAAACTGCTGTGAGGCACTCAAAAAGAAATAAGGGCAAAATATTACATCGTATTTAAACCTACAGTGGAGTAATATCGCAGTTGAATACAAAGATTGGCAACAAAAAACAGCATTTTAGCCAGTGAATGCACAAAATCATCATAACAAAGATTAAACAAAGCAACTACAGCTCGGCTTTACATGAGCATAAACAGTGCGGGAAAATTGGCGAATTGAAGAGACGGATCTTAATTCAGTGGGTAATTTATTCCAGTCCAGAGGAGCTTTAACACAAAAGGCGAGTCTACCCACCTCCTTTTTAAAACGAGGAACAACAAATGATGGAAAAGTAGTTAAACGGCTAGAATACAAGGAATCAATGGGAACCAAAAGAGTTTTCAGATAAAGTGGAAAATCAAAATAAATGCGCTTAAACATAAATATCAGCCAATGAAATTGTCGTCTAGCTTTTAAAGGCAGCCAACCAAGAAGTTCATACATAGAACAATGATGAGTGTTAAAAGAACACTTCACATGGGACAGTAGGCGGGCCTGCCAGACTCGTCCTGTGTTTAACTCCACACAGAGAGCCAGTCTGGTACCTCACAGGCCGAGAGGCACATGAGGGGCGGGACTGGCCAGCTCAAACATAGCCAATCAGAAAAAAGGCGGAAATGCCGACTGCACCACGCAATGCTGTCGTTTTTTAGCTGTAGTCAAAAATGGCGTCTGGCGACGATGCAAACATCTTTCTTTAGAAGAAAGACTTTTGGTTTTAAAGACGTGTTCGAGTCATTTAGAACGGAGGAAAGAGCCACAGCGAACTCTGCTTTAGACGCCATCCTCCTTGTTTATGAGAAACTTAGCGTTGTGGTGTGTGTGTGTGTGTGTGTGTGTGAGACATATGCTGCTCAGCACTGATTGGCTCGGTTAGAAATCTCAGGGGGTGGGTTTATTTGAAGAGGAGAGTTCTCCTGACTAGGGCTGCAACAAACGATTATTTGGATCATCGATGAATCGGATGGGGTCTCTATTCGATTAATCAGATTAAACGGGAAAATTAAATAATTGCTAGTGAAACATTTTTCTCCTTCCATTACTCAGACAGAACACGGTTGTGCTCTGTTTGTTAACAGAGTTGTTAAATGTTAAAATAAAGTTAATTAAATAAAAAATAAGAAACATCCTGGATCTGTTTGTTCGCTTTCTTCGCTGAAGTATCAGATCGATACTCTGCATCAGCAAATGATTTGGACTCTAGTTAAAAAAAACCTGATCAGAATTTTTTATTTTTTTATTTAAACATTGCTAGGGAAACACGTTTCACTCCTTCCTTTACTTTAACAACAGAACGTGATTAGAAAACTTCAATAGCGTGCAACTCTAATCACCTAAACATATCCCAACATGTTCAGTAGTAAGCTACTGGAAATGCTGATAACATTTCATTTCTACTGCTTAAAATGTAATGGTGCATATCTATTGGGGTGGGCGATATAAACGATATAAAATTGGGTAATGATAGAGTTTTTGGCTATATCGCAATATCGCGATAACACATGACGTCACTAAGATGTGCACCCTGCTGACATTGGGACAACAGAATGGCAGGGACTGCAGGCATGGAGAGGGCGGAGGAGGAGGCCTATATGCCTCAAGTGGCATTTATTTGCCACAGGAGGATATTTAAAAGCATGTCATTTTGACAAATATAAACAGAGGAAAAAATATATCGCAATATATATCGTTACCGCACATGCTTCAGATTATATTGCAACATAGAATTGAGGCCATATCGCCCAGCCCTACATCTATTATGTACGGGTTAGCAATTATCCATTTTAAATTATGTTCACAGATAGAACCTTTGGTAAAATAAATGCTACAGTGGCTTGCCGTATACCGTCAGCAGTGATGGGCAGAGCAGACTGCAGTAACCTGACTGCAGCGGTGCCGGTTCAGCTCCGTAGCGCTGCAGCCAGGGGCGGCGTTAGGCCCGGCTACTTGGGCTGAAGCCCCGGATGTTTTATGAAAAGCCCCGGATCTAAATCGTGGAAGTAACATGCAGTACCAAAGTCCAACAGAGAGGGAGCAGCTGGCAGTAGTTTGTATACAGCCTGCCTGAGCCTCCACCACTGAAGAAGAAGCCCTTCAGCAGCCGGCTTCTTCTACAGTCTCTGCCTGAAACGCATGAGTGAAGATGGACATAAGGATGTTTTTTAGACCAAAAGTACAACGACAGAACCCCAGCTTTGATGAGACTGGTGCTGACTCAGGTTTGTGAGTCTTATTTGAAAATATTTGTTGTGCTGCTGGTTTGCCTAAAGTTAGCTTACTATCAGGTAAAGTTGTTGGAGAAAGAAAGGGAATATTTACTATCATCTCACACTAAACACTAACAGGAACAATACTCTGCCCTGAATATGATGAATAAGTAGCTTCAGATTAAAAATTATGTGGTACAAGACAAATATGATGTTGGCTAGTGCGTGTCGTGTGTGCGTGCGTGCGTGCGTGTGTGTGTGTGTGTGTGTGTGTGTGTGTGTGTGTGTGTGTTAAGCCCCGGATCTTCTTCAGTCCTAAATCCGCCCCTGGCTGCAGCTAATGAACAGGATGATGGGGACTTTTCTTCCACTAGTAGAGTTTACATTTTCTTAGTTTCACAACCATCGTGTTTTTTAAAAACCCACTTGATCGTGAGCCCGCTACCCGCTAGAATTAGCTAATCAGCTTGTAGTTGCACTTTTGATACCAAATTTTGGACGGTTTTTGCCTCTGTGTCTTTGCTGGTTTCTCTGTTTTCCTCCACAGCACCTAGATGAGCACAGTGTGTGCCAGTAAAAGGCATCTTCCTTACACAATAATTACACGTGCGACATGTGTGTGTCTCGCGTTCTGATCTGCCTCGGTCCGCTCTGCTGCCGCATCAGATGGGCCGCGCGCATTGACTGTTACTTAAAGGTCGCACAAAATGAAAAGACGTTGCACAACACAACGAATCGATCATGAAAAGCATTGCCAACACATTTCTTCATCAAATTTTATCGATTCGTTGTTGCAGTCCTATCCCAGACCCAATGCTTCCCATAAGGAAGCATGGGGCTGGCTGGTCGGGCTAACGGGACAGAACTCTGCTGACCAGAAACAGCACTTAACAGTTTTGTGGAGCAGGTATGTGCCCTAACAGCTGTTAGCTATTTTCTGCGTTGGTAGCTAATAAAAGGCTAGCTGTTAAGTTTTTTCAGTTCGCTGACCGTCAATAAAAAAAAAACACAATTGGAAAAAAAAGTGTTTTTTTTATTGGCATCATGGTAGAGCCAGGAAGTAAGAGTAAGAGAGTAATGTCTCTGAAGGCGAAGCAAAGAGATAAAACCGAAGCGAACATCGGCGCTGCCTGCACTAGCATAAAAATCTAAAGGAGGCTACAAAATCACAGAACGATAGTGACCTGGCTTTATTGCTACCGAAATTGTAAGAAATTATATTTTTGTCCAACAGTGTGGATATTTTTACTTTGTGGCTTACTTAGTAACACTTAGCTCATGCTAGAGTTAGCTTGTTGTTAGCACTAGCTAGGCTGCTGCAGGGTTGTTTACAACAGTTGTAATTGCACTTTCAACCAGCAGGGCGGCGGAGGAGCACTGCCTGGTGTTACTTTAAATAATGTTTGTAACTGCCAGGAGAGTTCAGTGAAAGATGAAGAAATGTAAACCGTGTTTATCTACCGTGGTCTTTATTCTTGTACAGCCACTTGTTGCCATCGTCTGTTAGCAGCTTGTCCTGTCCAAAGGCAGCGTTAACGAAACCGTTCACAAACGAAGAGGCCAGGTTCATCCGGGCCGAGTCCACTTGGGAGCCACTACCCCCAAACCCTGGCACATGCAGAACAAGAGAAGATTCATGAACGTGCCGTCCATCAACCCAACCGTAAAGAGGTGATGTCACTCAGACTCACTGTTGTTCTCCAGGTGGGTTTTATAAATGTCGTCTGGGACTTTGGGCTCCATGATGTCCAGCTGGAGAGCACAAACAGGTTAATAATAATAATAATAATAACATTATTTAGGGTTAGCAACCCTTTGTGTTGGACCATCATTCACCACCGTTACTGCTGGTTATCCAGCCCAACAGAAGATATTTTACTTTTCAGGATGTGGAAACTAAATCTGAAATGTAAAAATTAAGTGTGACCAGAAAAATGGTGAAGTAGTTCATAAACATCTGCTGGACAACAGCAAAGAGCTGCCATCGTTTCTGTCTCACTGCTGGCTAATCGCTCGCAAAACGTCTGACGCAGAAAGTAAACAGAAACACTTAAGAGCTTGAGATGCGTTCAGTACGCGCGCGTGTGTGTGTGTGTGTACTCATTTCACTCAAATCCAGCATTTTAGTTGAGTTTAAATAAATACAGATTAATTACTGTGACCAATTTAATGTCCAACTTTCTAATCCTGACAGCATTTCTTTGAAGTCTCATCTCTCCCACCTCTCTGGCCAGCGCCAGGAAGTTGCTGTTGAGCTGTACGTTGGACATGATCTCTGTCAGGTCCTCGTAGTCCTCCACGTCTTCGTTCAGCTCCAGGAACACACCATGCCGACCCAGCATGAAGGCCATCTGCTTCTGGATGACTCTGGCAGGAACAAAGACACACGGGGAGCTTACGTTGAGCTCACGTTTACTCTCAGCAGGAGGGGGTGTCACAGAAGATCAGATAAACATAAGAACTGATGTGGATCCGCGTTAATCCAGGATGGGACAATCTGAACTGAAGACGCCTTTCGGAGGAGAGGAAACGTCTTTGACCAGCAAGAGAGGTTTTGAACTCTTAAGCCTGTTTTATACGTCTCCGTCTGCGGAGATGTGCGCCGCCATTATCCGTGGATCCCTAGGCTCCCTGACAGGCATGCAAGGATGGAGAGAGTAGAGTCCCATTTTTAACTATTCATTGAACACAACAGAGAGCACACGCCTGATTGGTCGGCCTAACAACAACAGTGGCGCCGTCATTGGTGGACGTACTTTCCACCAACGCAGTCATCTACTTCACTCCGGTCGAACTATTTGCAAGTTTTTGTTTCTTGAGACCAAACTGTTCCCGCTCAGTGAAAACTTGCTGTTGGCCATCGCTCCTTGGTGTTTACAAACGTTTTGCAAACAGGAGGAATGACAAAATCTTAACACAGGAATCTAAAATTATCATCTAAAAAAACACCTTCTTCAAGACATCTGCATCAACAGGCTGAAGTAAATAAACTCGTCGACCAGAAGCTGGGCGGACACGGTTGTCCTTTGGGAGTGCTGTAGGACACAGGAACTCATGGGGTTGGAGGAGGAAGATGAAAAACTAAATCAATGTTTTTTCATTTTAATTTGACATAAAAACGCTTTCTTGACAATCACCGTCATTGTGTGTGAAAGTAGTGTATAAATATAAATGACTGACGTGTGTTTATAGGGAAATACACTCAGGTCCATAAATACTGGGACATAGACACAATGCTAACATTCTTGGCTCTATACACACCACAATGGATATCAAATGAAAGGAACAAGATGTGCTTTAACTGCAGACTGTCAGCTTTTATTTGAGGGTATTTACATCCAAACCAGGTGAACGGTGTAGGAATTACTACAGTTTGCACATGTGCCTCCCAATTAAGGGACCAAAAGTAACGGGACAATTAGCTTCTCAGCTGTTCCATGGCCAGGTGTGTGTTATTCCCTCATTATCCCAATTACAATGAGCAGATAAAAGATCCAGAGTTCATTTCAAGTGGGCTGTTTGCATTTGGAATCTGTTGCTGTCAACTGTCGAGATGAGATCCAAAGAGCTGTCACTATCAGAGAAGCAAGCCATCATAAACGAAAGGTTGATGAAAGGAGGTAGGTGTATCTGTGTCAAAGTCAACAATCAAGAGAAGACTCCACCAGTGTGAATACAGAGGGTTCACCACAAGATGTAAACCATTGGTGAGCCCCAAAAACAGGAAGGCCAGATTAGTTTGCCAAACAACGTCTAAAAAAGCCTTCAGAGTTCTGGAACAACATCCTACGGACAGATGAGACCAAGACCAACTTGTACCAGAGTGATGGGAAGAGAAGAGTATGGAGACGGAAAGGAACTGCTCATGATCCTAACCCCAAAATTCCACTATCTCCGCTCCGCCCCACTTTCTGCTGCCGCCCGCTTCCGAACTCAAATTATACTCTACCCGCTCTACAACGGCTCCGCTCCGGTGCGGAGACCTGAGGGGCGCAAACAGGCATGCGTGGGATTTTCGAGATCTTGCGATACAGTCCGAGCAATAAACACGGAAGTTAGATCCAAACACCCGTTGTGTGGGAGAAGCATCGGCATGAACTGTTTAATCTGCCCATCATTAGTGTTGAGAGATCAGCAGTGTTTGGATCAACAATGGGTGTAATTTGATAGTAGAAACTGTATGTATGGCTTATTTTTGTGCATTTAATGTTCAACCGTCATTGATAGTTGTTAAAAGTTGTTAAACCTGTGCATATGAAACAAAAAATGCTTTTTGTTTATCGATTTATTGTGAAATAACGGAAGGTGTGCTTGCTCCTTTTCCTGTTGGGCCGTTGTGATTTCTGTCCATTTACTGCGGAGGTGCTCCGCACGGCCGCAGTAGTGGAACAGCTCCGATTGACTACAACGGAACCGTTTTTGATGCGGAGTTCGTGCCGGAGCAGAGATAGTGGAATTTTGGGGTCAGCATACCACCTCATCAGTGAAGCATGGTGCTGGAAGTGTCATGGCGTGGGCATGTATGGCTGCATGTGGAAATGGTTCTCTTATATTTATTGATGATGTGACTGCTGACTAAAGCAGCACGATGAATTCTGAAGTGTTTCGGGCAATGTTATCTGCTCATATTCAGCCAAATGCCTCAGAACTCACTGGACAGCGCTTTACAGTGCAGATGGACAATGACCCAAAGCATACTGCAAAAGCAACCAAAGAGTTTTTGAAGGGAAAGAAGTGGAATGTTTTGCAATGGCCAAGTCAATCACCTGACCTGAATCTGATTGAGCATGGGTTTCACTTGCTGAAGACAAAACTGAAGGGAAAACGCTCCAGGAACAAGCAGGAACTGAAGACTGTTGCAGTAGAGGCCTGGCAGAGCATCACCAGGGATGAAACCCAACGTCTGGTGATGTCATGTGTTCCAGACTTCAGGCTGTAATTGACTGCAAAGGATTTGCAACCAAGTAATGAAATGTATAAGTTTGATTTATGGTTCTTATTCTGTCCCGTTACTTTTGGTCCCTTAACAAGTGGGAGGCACATATGCAAACTGTAGTAATTCCTACACCGTTCACCTGGTTTGGATGTAAATACCCTCAAATAAAAGCTGACAGTCTGCAGTTAAAGCACATCTTGTTCCTTTCATTTCATATCCATTGTGGTGTGTATAGAGCCAAAAATGTTAGCATTGTGTCGATGTCCCAGTATTTATGGACCTGACTGTAGCTGGTGAGCCGTGCTGATGCGTGTTTGCGCGTACGTTGCGAGCGGTTCTGGTACTTTGTGGGTCGCAGCTCCGCTTCATCAGTGCGAAACCGTTGCCAGGGACGAGCAAAACATCAAACATGCAAGCTTATGATTGCTGATTGGCAGCTGGTCGTGTGGTGGTAGTCGTCTCATTATACCCTGCATGCTACACCACGCTCAGCGCAAAACTCGCCCCCATCTCGTAGATTCTCGCACGAGTGGAAAATCGGCTAAAAAAAGTCGCACGTGGGTTTGATTAGTGAAATGAAAACATCTGCAGCATGATGATTATAAACCCGTTTCGTCTGACAGTAGCAGGTCACAGAGGCGCTCTCCTTACATGTCTTTGCAGGAGGTGAAGATGTTTTCCACCAGCTCCATGTCATTGAGCATCAGAGCGAGGCGCAGGGCCTCTGGATACCGGTTAAACTCCCTGAAGATGTTCAAGGCACACCTCAGCAGAGCAGAGTTCTCTGGCTCTGGGACGTAACTCACACAGCTAGACAGACAACACAAACCAGCTTAGGTTTCACTCGTTCTGTTTACATTCTACAGAGTGAAGGAAGAGGCGTGTTTTCTGAGCTAACCTGGTGAGGTAGAGGCAGACTTTTCCGTAGGCGTTTTCATCGATATAGTTCTCCAGCATGTCCAAACGCTCGATCTCCATCAGCAGGTCGCAGGCCTCGTGCTCAGCATTATGGGCCATGTTGTACGGCACAATCTCCTTCACCAGCTTCAGCAGGGTCTCCTGTTGGGTCTTATCATTCTCCTCCACCTCCTGCCACTCTTTGGCCACCTCTCCGGCGAGGTGCCTGATGGACATTAATAGTCGAGAAAGCGGTGATCATCAGCAGAGTCGGCTCAAACTACAGAGCGTAACTGGAAAAATGTTATAAAGACTTTTCCCACATGTCCTCTAAACAGTCATGATGTACCGATGCTGCTCTGTAATCCCAAAACAAACCCAAACAGTCCTGCACCTCCTGCGTTTACATGGCGGCTGATCTGGATCAGGTTTACCTGACGTATTCGTGTCCCCAGGAGGCCAGCTCTTCCTGAGAGCCCAGCAGACGGTACTTCAGACACTCCCTCTCGCCGCTCATCGTCATGGCCAACACCGACACCACGTCAGCACAGAAACGCTACGACAAAATACACAGACGTCATGTTGTAAACCACAAGACAGACTACTCGATAAGTCTTTAACACGTTAGTTTGATTAATGTAACTACAATAGATTAGAATAACTAAATACATGGTGACCTCTAAATCTACCCAGCCTGTCAAACACAGGCTTTCAGTTCAACACCAGAAGCTGAGGGATGTTCTTCTTGTATTTGTTTCACAAAAACTGGATAAATTCACGCGTGATTATATTATAAGAAGTAAGGTAAATGAAAATACTGACTTTAGTCACATTATATGGTTTGGACTAGGGCTGGGCGATGTGGCCTAAAATCAATATCACGATATATTGAGGATTTCACCTCGATAACGATAAACGAACGATAACTACAGGTATGCGCAGAAACAACAGTTGTCCACTAGATGGGGCCGCCACATGTATTCGAGTCCCATTTTTACATGACTCAAGGTGGTACAGCTTCTTAAAGGGACATGAACCTACACACATCTTTTCATTTTTTTTATTATCAAATTTATTGACACGGGAAAAATTATCTCGATAAGAGTCCGAAATTTCTATAACAATACATTTTTGATTTATTGCCCAGCCCTATTTCGACATATTTTAAAAAGATTACAGGTTAAAAGACACCCTGTCGAAAGCTCTGTTTCGAGAATTTTCACACAAATTTCAAACACGACTGTTTCCATTTGACATCGTGGTACAGCCTCATCCAGAGCTGCACTAGCAAAGTGAAGAGGTAACATCGGGTAAGTAGGGAAACATAAGGTTAGGAGACAATGAGCAGAAGCGGGACATTGAAGATGATAAAACGTGTTGGGGGGGGAGGGAGGCATGACATTTGACGGCACAAAATCTTTGGTAAATGCGCTGTAACGTTGATTTTCTAAATTCTGATCCTCGCAGCAGAGACTTACCTTATTTTCACCAGGAGCCATGCCCTCATAGACTTCTTTCAGCTTGCCGTAGTGTGGGCGCAGGAATTTCAGGGGCTTAGGTACGGAGGTCATGGAGGTGGTGGAGGACCGGATTTGTCTGCGAAGCTCTTCTAATGCAGGACGATACAGCGCTGTGTTCGTGTCCTGCAGAAACAGAAGAATGGCATGTTACTTCACCTTTGCATGGTTTTGCCACGTTGGCAAACAGAAAAGTGATTAAAAAAAAACTGATACTCACACTTAGCCTCTCCACCATCATCTCCAGGTCCTCTTGTAACTGCTTATCTTCCTCTGACTGAGAAACCACAAGGGAATTCAAGATTTATTGTAATCACCACCAAACAAAATCAGGCTGGTTAACAGATCTGCAGCCTTTAAGAAGGAAATAAGAATGCCACAATGCCTTATAAACTGAGTACATAAAACTACATGAAACATTCCATCATGTTTTAAGGGTTCAGGTACTTTCTGCATGTTAAATTTAGTAGGGAAAATGGTTAACATGGCTTATTTACTGTAGATCCTAAGAAAAAAATTCTGAAATCCTATTAAATGTAATAAATAAATATAACATTGACAATTTCATTTTATTACCATAACTTTTACAAGACACAGTAGTGGCAAGGGGATCATAGATGTTGAGGCTCTCTGTGTTTTAATGCGCTTGTGTATTTTTCTGTCTAGAATACTTGTAAACTTTAACGTTTGGGGGTCAGAGACGTAAAACTTTAAACCACTGCTTTGGTTACTGAATCGCCGGTTTACAGTGATGGAGGATCCTGAGATGATCTTTAGATGTAAAATTAAACTGGTGACTGAACCCACAATGGTTACAGAAAATCAGAATCATTAGTATTAATATGATCGATATTATAGGTGCTGAAATGCCGTGAGTTTGGCTATAGACGACTGGACTCATACACAGTTAACAACAGCGTAAAATAAGTTTATTTTAACAATAAATTCATATAAACTAACTGCACTAATGACGTTAGCAGCAGTTGGATTAAACACAGCGGATTCATTGACTTTATCCCAGATGCTGTGTGACAGAGGGGCAACGTGAGGCTGGTTTAACACCGATGACAGTCTGCTCAGCTAACGCTAGCACACCGGCTGGGGCAGGCTAGGCTAGCAGGACACATTTTTTGACATTGACGTGACTAAAACAATTAGCGGGTAAAGGTGGTTAAAAGTTATAAAAGTAATGTTCACGGTAAGCTAAATGAGACTTCATAAGCTGTTTATAAAAATAAATGTCCCTGACTTTGGCCTGCTCCACCGTGTTGTCACAGCGGCAGTGACTCAGGCAAAAGAACAACTCAAGCGCCTGAAACGTTAGGTAGCACTTAAGAGGGGAGAGAAATCCACAAACTTACCAATTCCTGCTCCTCTTTCTTTTCTTTATCTTTCCCAGAGGACTGCTGTCCCTTTTCCTTATCATTTTCCTTCTCATCGCTCTTTTCAGACTGCTTGTTCTCTTTCTTTTTTGCCTCCTCCATGATTGAAAGCGTTGAGTTAGCACGGAACTCGGCGACTGTGGATTCTTCTTCTTTGGTATAAATAAACCTTGTAAGAATTTATTTACCACCACCTGCTGGCCATAAGGTTTAACAGCGTTCGATTATGCCCGAAAATAAAATAAAATAAAATAAAATAAAATAAAATAAAATAAAATAAAATAAAATTTCTGTACTTGGCTAATTTCAGTAGTGCACATTATCAAATCTAAAGACTTGTGTCCGCACATATGTTGAGATATGATAAAACGCGTGGTGTTATAATAAAGTATCTAAAACTATTTAATATTTCAAGATGCTTATTCGGTACGGAAATCACATATAAAAGTGTGTGAATAGGAAACTCAAATTTCCTACGTTTTTCGAGCCATTTGAAGTAACACATCAGCAGGTCACATGACTTTGATCACATGCTGCCTCTCACTGTTTCCTTGATAGTACACCACCATGGCTGTTCGAGTTCTTGTGCTTTTTCTGTGTAAAGTGTCCTTATTTTTACAGCTTGGTGTGATTGTTGTGGCAGAGGGGAGGTTTTATGGCTTCAGAAAGTTTCATGTAGACTCCAGTCAGAGAGCTGGGAGTGAGGAGCAGTGGTTCACACAGAAACTGGACCACTTCAATGGTGCAGACAGCAGAGTGTGGAAACAAGTGAGTCTGCCTGATCAGCTCTGTGGCATGTTTTATGCGTGTCAGCTAATAATAATAATACTTGAAAATGTACTGGATCAATGTGAGATTGTGTTGAATGTGTCAAAAAGCTGCTGACTGTTTACTTCATCTGCACACAGCATCTGTGTAAGGCGTGTGCTCTTCTGTCTCTTCCAGAGATATTTCATAAATGAGTCCTTCTACAAGAGCGGCGGCCCTGTGTTTCTGATGATAGGTGGAGAAGGTCCAGCAAATCCAGGATGGATGCAGAATGGGACCTGGCTCACTTATGCTGAGAAGCTGGGAGCTCTGTGCTTGATGCTGGAACATCGTTTCTATGGGAAAAGTCACCCCACAGGGTACGTTTGCCGCTGTTTAACACACATGGTGTTGAGTAAGAGCTCGACAGTCACAGTGTGCATGTCGAGTCAAATGCAATAGTATGAAAGTGGCTGAAGCAAAGTGCAGGACAGCAGATAACTATATTAAGACAGAAGGTTTCAGTTCTCTGATCAGCTGAAAAGACAACCACAACCAGCTGCATTTGTGTTCAAGTTAATAAAAACATGTCTTTAGTGTTTAATGTTGACCAACCAGACCCATTTATCACTTATAATTAAAGGGGCATTATGGAAGTTTGACAGCCAAAACATGTATAGAAATAATAAATGTCTTCTTCATACATTCTCCTGCAATGCCCTGGTCCTGTAGAATGAGCCCTGGCATTTTTACTGTGATTGCCTGTTTTTCTGTAAAATCACAGAAAAAGAGAGCTGCTCGGGTCGAGCAGGCTGCTTCATGCGCGTTAACGCTCGGGCATAGCCCGTAGCATTTGCTATCAGTAGCTTTAGCAGCAGACAGAGAGGTAGTGCCAACTCAGCGACTTTGTCGCTGTTCCTAACGCCTAGTGATGAACCTAGCTACATTTCTGAGGACCCTTAGCCACTTTTTTTCTAGATATTTCCTGCAAATTAGCAACAAAATAGCCATTTTCGCTTCGAACCGTTCTTTGGTTTGACGTTGTTTCATCTGTCATCGACATCAAGGATATAAAAGTTACAGATACTGTGACTGGTACTAGAGTATAGCTCACCTTGTAAGATGTCTGACTCCCATGCAGAAGACCTGGGTTCGATTCTGGATGTGAACATAGCTTATTTAGAGTTTCTTTTTTACATTATTGGTATATTTTTTTACAGTAAGATGCCCAAATTTTTATTTGAGACTTGCCGAACGGCATTGAATTCACAGATAAAAAAGATGTGGGTTCAACTTTCATTTTGGAACAATTTTCAAGCAAGGGAAGGGAATGATCTGATCATGCAGGAGGACTGACCCATCATAAACCTTTGTCGGCTGTGCTGAAGAGAAAGGTACAGAACCACATTATTTAATTAATTAGCTGCGCGTTCTCCTGTCCTCTGTCCTCCGGGCCACACACACACACACACACACACACACACACACACACACACACACGGGACTGTCTCAGCTGTTATTTTCGTTAAGGAGTGTGCACGTACAGCATGCGCGCCTCGTGCACGAGCCTACTATTGAAGCTGCCGTTACGCTTTTGGCCTGAGGGGGCAATTGCGAGCATAAAAATTCAAAACTCCGTAAAGTCCCTTTAAAGGTGCTAGATAATGAAAAATATGATAATGATCATATTTTTGGTCTAAAGTAAAATCAGTTATGTAGGAAGGAACTTTTCAGAGTTCATGTTGACCGCAGACAGTGCTTCCATCAGCAGGGGGCAGAAATTAGCTGTTTAGTGAGGATTGAACATGTGACAGGATAATCATGAGACAGAATCAATACAAAACAAGCTGCATGGACATGTTTCATAATGTTCAGATTTTAGTTTACCACGAGTGCAACACTGAATTCAAATAGTTTCTGTTTGACTGATCTGTCACAAGGTGAAAACATGGGCAGACAGAGCTGCTGTAAAAGCAGAGAAGATCTGCTACAGAAACCCAAAGGTCCAGTGGGGATAAAATGTTTAAGTGTTCTTATACTTGATAATAGAACCATAACAGAGAAATGTACTGTAAGCAACTTGCTGCAGGTTCTTCATAATTTGATTTCTGACCAAGCCCCCACAATGCGGGTGAAAAATTGAGTCCAACCCGGAAGTACCAAAAATAGCAGTTCCACCCTCATCCGCTGGGGGCTGGTGTCAGAAGCGAGCAAATCCTCATTGACTCCCATGTTAAAAATACCAATTTCACAGCAGAAATAAACATGTTTACAGCCTGGTACCAAAACATGTTTTTGGTTTAAATGATCTAGTTTACACTCATGACAACTCTGAGGGGGGGTGATTTTTTTTCTCACTCTTCTGTTTAAGTGTATTAAAAGCCTAAAATTCTGTATAATTAATGAGCATCAGACCCACGTGACCACAGAGCTAGCTCCGTGGAAAGGCCTCAGTAGCACCTCGGTCTGGCTTGGAAACTGCTCCGGGATTTTGAGTCTCTGTGTTTGTATATTCTTTTTTGGATGTTATTTGTGCAATTGTTGGACAAAATGACTTGATTAATTGCACTAATAGAATGTCCAAGGAGTCTCCACTTCATTTTTTTCGGTAAGTAAAATTATATTTATGTATTTTAGGTCACTGCTGAGCTGAGCTTAGATTTTAACATGTACTGTTTAACCATGAAATTTAAATGCAATAGGGTAAAACCCAGTGCATTTAACATAATGCTGCACTTTAGAAAATGGGTTGAAATATAACATGTTGGTGGAGCTGGGTTCCGACTATCGGCTTGTGGAGCTCTCGGGAGACCGATGTTTTCCACCCGGTTCTCCCCTCCCCGCAGCTCGGCGCATCTCTGTCTGATCGCGGCTTCTGACTGCTGCGCGGGCTGCCGGCTTGTGGAGCTCTGGGATGGAAACCTTTCCACCCGGTTCTCCCCAGCGGCAGCTCTGCGCGTCTCAGATCGCAGCGGCGCTTGTCTGCTGTGCAGCTGCCGGCTTGTGGAGGTCTCGGAGACCTCTGTGTTCCACCTGGCTTTACCCAACGGTCAGCCCGGCGTATCTCTGACTCAGAAGCTCTGGTGTTGTGCACAGTTAACTCTGGTTGTAGCTAGGTTGCTACCTCCGTTAGCTTAGCTCCCACCTCTGCGTTAGCTTTGGGTTAGCTTCAGGTTAGCTTGTAGCTAGTTTGACCGGGTGTCTTCAGTTGATCCCAGCCTTGCAGCCCCACCCTCAGCTCCTCCTCTCTTCCCTTTAGTGGAATTGTCTGGGCTTGACGGAACCTGTGACACGGTCAAAATGGCGGTGGTGGCCACCTCCCATTTTAGCTCAAAAACTTGTTATTGGAGTCTATGGAAACCCATTGTCCATATATGTATATGTCGATGTTTCTGACACTCCAGGCCCATTTCAGTAAATTGAACCAACACAGAAACCACTGATAGACCCAGGACGTTGACTGCCTCCAAAAACATAACAAAAACAGTAGTAAATACTTTTGGTTCTTGAAAACACTCTGTCGCTTTCTATTCAGCGTCAGAAGAATCAAAGAGATGAAGATAACTCTAAAAAATAATCCAAACTCCTCACCTGTTGCTGCTGTTCTGAGCTGCACCACTAGATGGCAGCCTTGTGTTTAAACGCAATCAGCTGACTTAAGAAAATCAGTTAAAAACCAAATACAGTCATTATAAATAATCTGTCTAACCACGATAGCCGTTCAGATTCCTCCTCTTTGTTCTGGTAGAAGAATGTTTGATCTGTTCTGGTTTATCTCAGTTGTCCCGGAGTTTGGACCCTTTTCTGTTGTGTTTTGTAAAAGTTCTTTGTTTCATTAATCGTAAAATCTGCACCCGCATCCTGCTCTGCTGGACAAAACTCTACCGTTCTTGTGTTTCAGTCCACACTTTCAGCATCTCTGATTTAGATGATTTACAAACAGCTGAACTGAATTTTTCCTGTCATTTCCAGATTTTGTCTAAACGATTGAGAACATGTTCTGAATCTGTTTTAAGAACAGGCTCAAGACCCACCTTTTTAGTTTAGCTTTTAGCTGATTACTATTTATTGCATTGCTTGTTTTATTTATTTATTTATTTTATTTTATTTTAATTACTGTTGTGTTACACATTTATGTTGTTTTATTTCTAAAATCACATTTTATTGGATATTTTACTATCCATAGTAGCTCTTGTTATTTTACATGTTACGTATTTTAATCCTTCCAGTGTTTCCTCTGTGGAGCCCTCTGCCTCGGTACCGGTGGTCGGTGGCGGCGGCTGGGGCGCTCCTAGGGTAGTGCCCAGGTAGTGGTGGGGGTTGCCACCCTCCCTCCCAGGCTGCCCTGGATTGGTGTCTTGGCTGCTGCCGTGGATCTGCAGCTGTCGAGGCAGATGGCCCCCTTGATGGCGTGTCTTTCATTACCTGTCCAATCTGAGCTCAGCCTAGTGTTTACTGTGGTCTTTTAATGTTATGCGTACAAGTGTGTGTGTGTGTGTGTGTGTGTGTGTGTGTGTGTGTGTGTGTGTGTGTGTGTGTGTGTGTGTGTGTGTGTGTGTGCGCGCCTGGGAATGGTTTGTGGATTGGGGGTGAAACTGTCATAATTGTTTTAAGTGTGGGGAAGGGAGGGAATGTGGGTTATATGGGTCATTTTAATCTGTTAAGCACTTTGTGTCGCTTGCTTTGCATGAAAAGTGCTTTATAAATAAAGTTTGATTGATTGATTGAATCTTCTCGTCCGGGTTTAGGGACCTGAGCACCGACAGCCTCCGCTTCCTCAGCAGCCGACAGGCACTGGCAGACCTGGCTCACTTCCGTACGGTGATGGGTGAGAGCCTAGGGCTGACCCACAGCAGGTGGGTGGCGTTTGGCGGGTCGTACCCGGGCTCTCTGGCTGCCTGGTTCAGGTTGAAGTACCCCCATCTGGTGCACGCCTCTGTGGCCACGAGTGCACCTGTGTACGCCACAGTCAACTTCCCAGGTATGAGAAGACCGCTCCTGATCAGGAAGTCTCCACGTCGTGTGTTTCCCTTTACATCTGTACAAACTTCAGCTTGAGCTGCATTAAGAGGAGGTTATTTTCTTGTCAGTCTTCAGGTTAGAACCAAGGTTCTGATTCTGGACCCAGGCTGTTCCACTCATACACCAGGACACTCACACACACACATTTGACTCACATTCCCTGTGACCTAAAGGGAACACGGTGTTCTGGGGGTTTATTTTTATTTCGTCAGCACTATTAGCCGGGAGGTGTTGGCCTTGGCTGGAGGGATGGAAACTTTCTAAACTCACCATTTCACCTCCAACCCCGATTACTAAACTCTGTCTGGGTCACACGCTGCTGTGAGGATGACTCTGTCTGTGGCTTCTGGATTAGCTTCCTGGGTGGTTTTGTGTTGTGTTGTGGTCGTTTTATTAGGTTGCTGCTATAAGTGTCTTCTCTGCTTCCTGTTTCCAGAGTACTTGGAGGTGGTGTGGCGATCGCTGGCCTCAGAAAATGTAGAGTGCCCCGTGCTGGTGAAAAAGGCTTCAGACACCATCGCTGAACTCCTGAAAGACCCCGAAACCTTTGACAACGTCACCAAAGACTTTAAGTACAGCACATTCACCCTTTTCTACTGTGTTGTGTAAAATTTCAACCAATTTAGGAAGCAAACATTACGCTAGACTAGACTCTAAAATGTCTTTGTTTTATGGAGCTGAGTCACACACATTCACCACTGGAGAAGTTATTTTTGGGGCGACGGTGGCACAGGAGTTAATCGGAAGGTTGCAGGTTCGAGCCCCGCTCAGTCTGGCACTGTCGTTGTGCCTTTGGGCAAGACACTTAACCCATGTTGCCTGCTGGTGGTGGTCGGAGGGACCGGTGGCGCCAGTGCTCGGCAGCCTCGCCTCTGTCAGTGCGCCCCAGGGCAGCTGTGGCTACATCGTAGCTCATCCCCACCAGTGTGTGAATGTGTGTGTGAATGGGTGAATGACTGATTGTGTTGTAAAGCGCCTTGAGGGGTTCCAGGACTCTAGAAGGCGCTTTATCAAATACAGGCCATTTACCATTTTTGACACAATCCTTTCCTCGACTGATTGTTTTATTTTCGCAGGTTTTACATTTGATTAGTTCTGATCAGGACTCAGAGAGCTTGGCTCAGCTTGGTTGGTATTTCCTCACATGTAACTACGTCGAGTTTTAGTGGTTTTGGTTGAATCTTGAAAAGAACACAGAATATTGCAACATTTAGCATTCAGCAAAACACCCAAGAACTGCAGTACTCATCTATTAGGTCCATAGGTCAGACACATATACATAGAGACCCATGGACTGGTGCTGCCTGTTGGATCTGCCATAGTGTCTGGCCGCCATCTTAGATGGGTCTCTATTTGCCCCCAATGCATTCATTTCTACTGAGGAAGATGTGTACTTGACTAAAAAACACATTTTATCAAGCTTTTTTACAAAATCAGACACACGTTATGGCACGATAATTAAAACATTAATATAATTAAAATAAATTTAAATATAAAATCCCATCAGGTAGGCTAGAAAATTCACTAGTAATCCCATGTGATCTGTTTTCAATTGCACACTGGTTGTTGCAACCATAGGCTGCACAGAAACATAGTTGCTCCCTCTGCATTCACTTTGGAGAGTGAGGAGACCCATCCAATATGGCGGTGACACTGTTACGCTCTCTAGCGCCCAATAGGGAGCCTAAGTCTCCTCCCTTTCCGTTCAGCTCATGGGTCCCCGGAAGAACGAAAAAATGAATGCAAGTCAACGGGGCTAAAAACGCTATTTTCTAACCCGCTTTGCCTCACGCCCTGGATGACACATATGTTGTACTGCTATTTAAATGAAAACTAATGATGGGTGTTTCGACCATGCCAGTCACGTACTTTGAGATTTATCGTCTTGTAAAAGTTCATAATTAGCATGACTACACACCAGAAATCAGCACGTCGCAAATGTGACGTCACCACATGATCTCCTCCCCCCCGTAGCTGCTATTACCACATGAACAGATTTATGGTGGTTCTTTCCTCCTATGGGAAGTTTGCTGAACTTACAGCCATTTCCCCTCAGTTTTCTCTGTGTCTGGTTTGATGACATCACTTTCGTGAAGCACATTTGTTGTCCTGGACTTATTTTCACACAAAACCTAAAATAGTGTTTCCCCCGTTCGACGATAAGCGCGTTCTTGGTATCAAAATGTGTCTTTAAAATTCACGGACATCATATGTGAAATCCATGGCACAAAACAAGCAGAATTAGAAAATAGCTTTTTTGCCCCGTTGACTTGCGTTCATTTTTTCGTTCTTCCAGGGAGCTGTGATGCAGAAGTGACTTAGGCTCCCTATGGGGCGTCTACTTGTTCATGTCTATGGTCCATGTGGTCCATAGAGTAGACTGGAGCCCATTTTGTCTTTGCTAATGTCAGTTAGTTGTGGCCATTTTTAATCACACACACACACACACGCACGCACGCACTCACACACACACACACACACACACACACACACACACACACACACACACACACACACACACACACACACACACACACTAATCTTGGTGTCTGGTGATGCTCCATTCAGTCTGAAACAAAGATTCAGACTGAATAAGTTGAGGAGCTAGCTGTTAGACTAGCCGCTAGGCTAACAATTTTAGCTCAAGAACTTATTTTCATCCATGTTGTCTTTCATCAAAGATTGAATGAAATCATGAATTTATAGTTGTTCACCATACTGAAGGGCCTAATGTTTCCTTTGTGTTAACTGAGGAGACGATTAATGGCTACAGCTTAGCTGTTAGCATAGCAATGGAATATTTCTGAACAGCTAACCTGGCTATCCAAAACCAATCACAGTAAAAACTGTGTTTATTCTTTAAAAGATGAGTAAATTAAAATATGTTTATGTATTTAGCAGACGCTTTTGTCCAAAGCAATTTACAAGTAATAAACGCCATGTTGCCCTTGAGGCTAACAACAACAATAACAACAACAACTTGACATCAGTCATGGAGAGTAGGGAACAAGGAGTGGATGGTAGAGAGGGGGACGGGTGCAGGGAGGGTGCTAGTTAAGAAGATGCTCTCTGAAGAGCAGGGTCTTCAGGAGTTTCTTGAAAATTGAAAAGGAAGCTCCTGTTCTGGTAGTGCTTGGTAGGTCATTCCACATTTGTGGAACGATGCATGAGAAAATAGATACTTCTTGTTTTCATATCCTTTGAATTTTTTTTATACTAAAATCAAATTAACATAATCTATTTTTATAGCATGTAACCACCCTACTACTGCTTACTTTTTTTCTATTTAAATCTAAAAAACAGCTTTAGTGGCCAACATAAAAGCATCTATTGTTATAAATGTCCCAACTCAGTGTTTACCCAGAAATCATTCTGAGTCTGTGCCATTTCTGCAGTAATTACAGCGTCTCCGAGTCCACTTTTAGCTGGTTTTAGTGACTGTGGTGAATCAGCAGAGCTAAATGGCTTTTGTAATGGTGCGGTTCGCCCTACAGACCTAATGCTGTCATGGAAATATCCCTGACCACGATGAACATTTCTTACTTCAGCTTCTTGTAAATGATGCAGACGTGTTCTCAGGCAGCCACAAACAAACTCAGGTGGTTGGGAGGATCGTCCAGCTCCACAAAGGACGTGTCTTACCAGGAAGTAACTTAGCTTAAACAGTAATGGTCTCATCCGTGTCCTCAGAGACATTCTTGTACACACAGCTTCTCTAGTGACCCTTGACTGGTCCCCATCACTGTCAATGGGACAGAAAAGAATATGTTTGTTCCAGATGTGAATCACTGTGAGTGAAATCTAAACAAAGAGACTCAAACAGTCATAGGTTTATTCACAGTCCTCTGGTTAGCTCAGTCAAGTGTTGACATTTGTTTTCTTCCTTTCTCTCTCCAATTACCAGCCTATGCTCCAAACTACAGATCCAGAATCCGATGGACTCTGGCTACTTCCTGGAAATGCTGGCTGGCAACTTTATGGATGTGGTCCAGTATAATGAAGACAACAGAGAGTTTGAGGTAAAGGACAAAGCAAACACCTGGAGAATGCAAGTGTGTGTGATTTAGTTGATTTTCACTGGTTAAAACCTGTTTAAACTATTTTATAGTGACATGAAATAGAGAAACCTCTTTTCTAGAGAGAGAGGCTGAAGCAGAATCAGTGTTGTTGAGTCAAAAGCAGCTATGAGGTGTAGGAAGGTGACGCTCATCCATGGTGCTACGCTGAAACATAAACCCCTGATTGGGGGGGGGGGGGGGGGCAGACCCTTATACTTCCTGTAAGAATGGCCCCAGACGTGCTCCTGGGTTACTTTCTCACTTTGCATCTCCATATGAGAAGAGAAGTCTCTTTTGTAACCTGCTCCTACTGGAGATGGTCTGTGGAGCTGCAAATAGAGCAACAATTGTATTTTGTGGATCTGGAGGAAGTGGCTGCAGGGGTGTGTGGGTCTGGGGGTCACCCTTAAGAACCATTCAGAACCAGCGCTGTGCTTTTATTCTCAACACCAGTGGTGGTCATGCTCCCAAGGCATGACGGACTTCATCAGGACTCTCGCCTCTGCTTTTTGCAGATGATGTGGTTCTGTTTGTGTATTTGATCCGTGACCTTCAGCATGCACCAGGTTGGTTCATAGATGAGTGTGAAACATCTGGGATGTGAGTGAGCTCCTCCTAGGCCATGGAGCTAAAGATGGACCCACTGATCAGGGCGTCGTGTGTCAAAATCAGGACATTTCTCTGGTCCGTCAACGTGAAGAAAGAGCTGAGTGGAGTTAACTTACTGGTGCTTCTACGTACTGAACACCATCTGTGGTCATGAGATTTAGATTGTGACAGGAAGAAAAAGATCTCAGGTGTAAACATCTAGAATGACCTCAGCTGACAAATACAGCGAGGAGCTCAGAGTGGAGTTGCTGCTCCTCCTCATCAAAAGAGCCAGCTAAGGTCGTTCGAATCGCCTTCCTCTGGAGGTTTCATTTGATCTCTCAAGAGCTTACCTTCAGTGTTTTAGGACCCATAGTGTGGTCCTGACCCCAGATGGACTCTCACCCATGAACGGCCTTTGTGAGGAGAAATAGAGTTTAAATTGTTGAGTTCTGCTCTAATGTCAGAAAAGTCTCTATAGTTCCTTCAGTGACCTTCGCTCCTCCATCAGTGTCACGTGACAGCAGCTAGAGGCTGTATTTTCCAGAGTACTTCTTTCAGCGGCTTCTGCAATGATGCAGCTTTTCTCTTGAGATGCAGGATTGTTATTCTGCTGTTATTTTAATTTTTACATCTCTTTGGATGTTTTCATGTGAACTTGCTAAGTTCCATTGAACTGACACTGTTCTGTTGGGCCCATATAATGATCAATCCACCTTCATGCTTCTGTTACTATGGAGAGCACACGTGAGTTAAAGCATTAATCTGGAGGTTTTCCCCTTTTAGGAATTATGAAGTATCTTTTTTTAGAAATTGGTCAAATTGATATTCTGACCACATACTGAGATATAATGTGGGCAATAAATAACCACGCCTGCCCTGTCCCGTAGAGCTCCATGGAATTTGATCGTCACTCAGCATTAACTCTGAGTTCATTCCCATCTGCTAAAATCCTTTTCTGTTGGGGTGCAGGCAGCCCTGAGTGAGACAGGAAGAGACTGAACAAGCTAGTTAACAAAGCTAGCTCGGTTCTGGGCTGCCCACTGGATAAAGCTGAGGAGATGTGTGATAGGAGAATGGTGGTGGAGCTGACCTCCATCCTAACCCCCCCCCCCCCCACACACACACACACACCCACCCACTGCGTTCCACTGTGGAGACAATGGACAGCTCCTTCAGAGGCAGACTGAGACATCCTAGATGTAAAACAGAACGCTACCGTAGGTCATTCATCCCCTCTGCAGTAAGAGTGTAGAACTCCTCAGTTTAGGCTGTTCTGGCATTATCCTGGTACACAACATCAATGCAATACTCAGTATGGGTTTGATACTTGTGCAATACCAGATGAACATATGTCCCTTATGCTGCATAGTTCTGGAAACCCAAGTTTTGTTTTTATTTGTTGTTTTAATGGCTTAAGGTTACAATAATAGTTTACTGCTCTTGTTTATTTACCTGAAATCTTATTATTTTCTTCTTCCTTTTCTCTGTTTGTGCCCCACTGTGGGATTAATACATTCTATTCTATTCTATTTTATTCTATTCTATTCTATTCTATTAGCCAATAGCATTAGAACAATCCAACCGTAAACCATTAACTTGCTTTGATGTCATGTTGCCATATTTCTTTTTGCTCCTTCAGTCGTTTACATTTTTAAAAATGTCGGCTGGCTGCTCCAAGGAGCCCGTGGCTGCTGGTTGTGTGGACGAAGTCTCGTATTCATGAAGCTGAACACGAGACTTGGGTCGGCTGGTATCTACTCCTGGAGTACAAAGCCATTCTGAGGTAGCTGAGGCCTGAGGCGCTCCGTCTCCTGGAGGTGTCTGTGTCCAGTCAGCTAACCAGATTAAAACGTCCATCTGCTTTGTTGAAAGGAACATTTATTGTTGTTCCACGTGCTGAATTATTCCAAACAACGTTTTGTTTTTAAACCTTTGCGTATCGTCTTAGAGCCCATTTGAAATCAGTTACCTCTCTTTCTATAGCCCCCTGCCTCTCCGTCCCCTGCTGCCTCAACGGGACGTGAGTCCAGTTACCAATAAGCTGATGGGAAAAAGTAACAAAAGACTCTTTGGTCTCTCTGGTTTCCTGTCGCCTCAAGCCAAAGAGATGCTTGTAAAAGAACTGAGAGGAGCAGTGGCCCGCTGAGCCGCAGCACTGGCTGACAAGCGCAGCCTACTGCTGACTCTCTGACACAAAGGGCTGCGTACAGAGCGAGCTAACGGGTTTTAGGAACCACTGAGGAATTTGGAAAGAGCTCGGAGCGAGGTGTAACTCAGTCAGGAGAGTCGGAGCTTTGGCTTCCCAGTTTAGGGGTATTAATGGTGCGCTTTCTAAAGTACAAAAGGGTATTATGTAATACAGCTTTTAGAGGGGAGTGCTAATAGTTCCTTCTTTTGCACAGATTATGAAGATGGTGTACTCATGGCTTTTAATGCTCTTGTTGTGCATGATGACGGTGGTGCAATCGCTGCTTTGACCTGCAGCCAGAAACAACATGGATCCTTTCTGAGGAGGATTGCCTGCGTTCATGGGTCTGGGTTCACCCGTTACTCACAAACTAAATGTCTCTAAGGATTACTCCTGACTTGAAACAACCAGGTTATGATGCAAAGGCATAATCTAGCTGCACCAGGACACTGGAGAAGTATTCTGTTCTAATGTTGGTAGGGTCTGGTGGTCATACATGCAGTCTTTTATGTGTTTAGAGTGTTTTATGTAGGAGATGTGAGTTATTAAGACCTTTAACTTACAGTTTTGTGAGTGAACCGTAAGCAGTGAAGGTTCCCACTCATCCAGGTCATGGTGATCCTCGTAGGCTTGCATGAAGGCTACCAGTTTCTCAGAAAGAGTAAGTCCAGTTGCCTTTTCTCACCCGTTTGACATAAATCCCATTCCGGGGAGATTACTCACAGTTGTCTGAATCGCACAGCGTATCTCCTCTGTGAGCCACAGCACGCTATTCCTGACAGAACCAAGCCACCACAATGCGGCTCCAAAATGGAATCAAACCCGGAAGTACCAACAATTGCAGTTCCACCCTCATCCGCTGGGGGCTGGTGTCAGAAACGAGCAAATCCTCATTGACTCTCATGTTAAAAATACCAATTTCACAGCAGAAATAAACATGTTTACAGCCTGGTACCAAAACATGTTTTTGGTTTAAATGATCTAGTTTACACTCATGACAACTCTGAGGGGGGGTGATTTTTTTCTCACTCTTCTGTTTAAGTGTATTAAAAGCCTAAAATTCTGTATAATTAATGAGCATCAGACCCACGTGACCACAGAGCTAGCTCCGGGGAAAGGCCTCAGTAGAGCCTCGGTCTGGCTTGGAAACTGTTCCGGGATTTTGAGTCTCTGTGTTTATGTTTTCTTTTTTGGATATTTTTTGCGCAATTGTTGGACAAAATGACTTGCTGTGGCATTAATTGCACTAATAGAGCGTCCAAGGAGTCTCCACTTCATTTTTTTTCAGTAAGTAAAATTATATTTATGTATTTTAGGTCACTGCACTGAAGCCCTAGGCCCTCGGGCCGGGCTTCGGGCCAACGACTGGGTAATTACCTCGGACACGGGCCGGGCGCCTTTATTTTTAATTGAATTCATTAAAAACATTGAAACACTTAAACCAGGGGTCGGCAACCTATTCCCATCAAAGAGCCATTATTACCCGTTTCCCACAGTAAAAAAAACACTGGGAGCCACAGCAGCCGCAGCGTTGTGGGCGGGGCCTACCCTCAGACAGCAGAGCGTTGCTCACAACAGGTGACAGCAGCCAGCACCGGTCGCTCGTGTACGTCAAAGTTATCTTTCATAAGACGATAATCAATAAAACGATTTATATAAAGTGGATCCAGAAGCTGTAGCCCGTCTCTGCCTACAATATTTAGATATTTTTCACCCTGTTGATGGTTTTACTGAGCAGGTGCCACTTTTGTCATACGTTTCTTTTTAAAACATGTTTAGACTGTTCAGAATACAAATCCAGGCTCTGTCACATTTGATTGTTGTAATTAAACTTTGTAGGTGGGGAAGGTCAGAAAAGGATCCGATCAATTTGTTTTTCCCTCATTTACAGTGACGGAGACAACGGCGCAGTGCGCCTGGCTCTGGTGTTAATCAAGTTTAATTTGATCTATTTTCACAAGAAAACAGAACAGTTCAAAGCAGGCTTGTGTTGACCGGACAGTTCCCGTATTTGACCATTTAATTTGACGGAGAAAGAATAGAAAGAATTACCCCGACGCATGCAGACGAACTGACACTTTATTCTACGCACCTCGCAGATGTAGCTAAATCACTCAAGAAAAGATTCCCATCTGAACATCTGAGCTGGACACTGCTCAGCGCAGCTCGCTGTCAGCGTGTACTACATAAGGTCCACAGCGAGCTGAAGATGTGGAGAGGGGCTTGGAGCGCGTCGCAGAACCAGAGCGCATGCGGGAAGATTCCTCCGACTGAATTCAGTCGGAGGAATCTTCCTGCTGATCTGAATCTAATGCAGCTCTCTGTGATTGTAAAATAATGAATGGATATTTAAATAAAATGCTTTATATTTTACTGAATTAATTTCATATCTGTAAGTCAATTCTATGTAAAGATTGTCTGCGTAAAACTGAACAGGTCCAACCCGGTCTTACTGTGAGACCGGGTTGACTCGTCACGCTTGTGCGTAATCATAGGCGCTTCCTGAGCTGAAGAGGATGTGAGATTCTGGGCTTCTCCTCAGACGGCTCCTGGATTTGTCGCCACATTGGAGACAGGAACAAGTGCTATTCAGCCAAAGTTTCATCATCAGGGAACATTTTCTAAGTGACAAGTCTCTCTGAGAGACAGGGTTTGGAAAACGCTCGCTTCAGTGAGAGGAACCTTCCCGCATGCGCTCTGGTTCTGCGACGCGCTCCAAGCCAATCTCCACATCTTCAGCTCGCTGTGCACATATGCGCTGACAGCGAGCTGCGCTGAGCAGTGTCCAGCTCAGATGTTCAGATGGGAATCTTTTAGCTACATCTGCGATGTGCGATACGAATAAAATGTCAGTTCGTCTGCTTTGTTTTCTTGTGAAAATTGTTGGAAAGAGATAAAATTTAACTTGATAACCACCAGAGCCAGTGCGCCGTTATCTCTGTGACGGTAAACGAGGGAGAAACAAATTGATCGGATCCTGCACGTCTTTTAACACATTGGTCAGGATTGACGCACTTTGTTTTCATTTAGTTGGTTAAAAAAAAGTCAGGCTCGGGTCGGGCCAGAGAATCCTGAAAACCTTTTCGGGCCGGGCCGGACATGGGCTCAGATTTTAGGCCCATGGAGGGCTCTACTGCCGAGCTGAGCTTAGATTTTAACATGTACTGTTTAACCATGAAATTTAAATGTAATAGGGTAAAACCCAGTGCATTTAACATAATGCTGCACTTTAGAAAATGGGTTGAAATATAACATGTTGGTGGAGCTGGGTTCCGACTATCGGCTTGTGGAGCTCTCGGGAGACCGATGTTTTCCACCCGGTTCTCCCCTCCCGGCAGCTCTGCGCATCTCAGATCGCAGCGGCGCTTGTCTGCTGTGCGGGTGCCGGCTTGTGGAGGTCTCGGAGACCTCTGTGTTCCACCTGGTTTTACCCAGCGGTCAGCCCGGCGTATCTCTGACTCAGAAGCTCTGGTGTTGTGCACAGTTAACTCCGGTTGTAGCTAGGTTGCTACCTCCGTTAGCTTAGCTCCCACCTCCGCGTTAACTTTGGGTTAGCCAGGGTTAGCTTTATGTTAGCTTGTAGCTAGTTCAACCGGGTGTCGTCATTTGATCCCAGCCTTACAGCCCCACCCCCAGCTCCTCCTCTCTTCCCTTTTGTGGAATTGTCTGGGCTTGACGGAACCTGTGACACGGTCAAAATGGCGGTGGTGGCCACCTCCCATTTGGCCTCAAAAACGTGATATTGGAGCCTATGGAAAGGAGATGTCCAGTATATTTATGTCGATGGACAGAACTGACGGTCAGCATGTATTTCTTTGTTGTTTTTTTTCAAAGCATGAAAGTAAACAAATATTTTAATGGCGCTTCAGAGCTTTTGCAGTTGTGACCTTTACAACTATGTAGGATGGTTTAAACTTGGTTTATTTGGGTATTTGGTTTTTCTTTTGAAAATAAGTGAGAACAGTCATTTAGTTGCTCGGCTACATTTCAGTGAAATCCTGTTTAAGGTCGCGGTCTGAGGGTTTTATGAGGCTCTGGGTAGACTGAGAAACATGGTGGTGGTGGTGTGATGGTCTGGAGCTCCTCTGCTGCTTCAGGACCGTAAGCTGTAACCGATGGAACCAGGAATGATGCTCTGTAGCAGAACGTCCTGAAGGAGAACATCTGACCTTTGACCTTAAACTGGTCATTCATGATCAAGAAGCCTCCAGTGTGGCAGAAATCAAACTGTCCTTCAAAGAAAAGTGGGACACAATGATCTAACACTTTCATCTGGGCCTTTTCCCTTCACATTTCTTCTCTGTCTCCGGTGTGTGTCTCCTACAAAGGGTGTTGTGGGTGGCAACATAACCATCAAGGTGCTGTGTGCCGTGATGGGGGACACCTCGCTGGGAGATCCGTACGCTCGCTACGCTGCTGTGGCCCGTCTTATGATGGACGCTTTCTCTTTGAAGTGCCTGGACCCCAGCTTCAGTAACTACACCAGAGACATGACGAATTCGTCCTGGGATGGACCCGCTGCAGGCGGAGGTGGGTGTGGATGAGTCCAACAGTATCTTCATTATGCAGCCAGTTAGCCATAAAAACAGCTTGGAACCTTCCACTGGCTGCCTAACGCCTGGAACAATCCAACACTGCAGCCTCAGGGGACAGGATGTCTTGCAGCCACGGCTTGTTGGGATTTCAGTTAAACAGAAAACAAACATTTGGGTGTTGCTGAATTTAGTTCTCTCTGAGGAAAGGTGAATGGGACTAGTTCTGGTAAAGCTAGAGCATAGGGAAGTGTTTTTGACTTGTGACGTGACTAAAAGCACAAACTTCCTCTGTAATCTGAGCTAATCTTGGTGTTTCCTGCTCACGGTTATCTCCTTTTCCTTGAACCAAATAGTCATGCAGGCAGCTGGTAGATGATGTGTGTGTGTGTGTGTGTGTGTGTGTGTGTGTGTGTGTGTGTGTGTGTGTGTGTGTGTGTGTGTGTGTGTGTTGCCAGGGAGACAGTGGGTCTATCAGACGTGCAGTGAATTTGGATTCTACCAGAGCACAGATTCACCTAACCAGCCTTTTACTGGCTTCCCTCTCGGGTGAGTGCCTTCATGCCTGATAGGTTCCTAATTATGTCTCCTGCTCCCCCACCCACCTTCTATTAGTTCCACATCACTCTCTGTGGGTTTCATTCATTCATTCATTCCAGTTTCCACAGATGTTGTTGTTTATTTGTTTTCTCGTTTCCAGATATCAGCTGAAACAGTGTGCAGCTTTCTACAACATCAGCGCTGAACAGGTGGCCGAGGCTGTCGCTCAAACCAATGAGTACTACGGTGGCTACGACATCCGCTCCAGCAGAATTGTTTTCCCCAACGGCTCCATCGACCCTTGGCACGCATTGGGCATCACCCAGGACATCGTGGCCGACCTCCCTGCTGTTTTCATCAAAGGTGATTAAAGGAGATCTTATCGGGCCTTTCCACCGGACGCGTAAGTGTTGCAGAACGTCTGCAAAGCGTAGTACACGGGACTCAGCAGTAACTCCCCACGTGATCATGACACCTCCCTCTGTTGCACCAAGGCACGTTTATAAGACGCACTGTTGCGGTAGTATCACTCTGATTTGCTGAAAAGGGCTATTGAGAAACCCCCCACCAAGTCTCTGGGCGACGCCGGGGCGGCGTTAGGCCCGGCTACTTGGGCTGAAGCCCCGGATGTTTCATAGGAAGCCCCGGATCTAAATCGTGGAAGTAACATGCAGTACCAAAGTCCAACAGAGAGGGAGCAGCTGGCAGTAGTTTGTATACAGCCTGCCTGAGCCTCCACCACTGAAGAAGAAGCCCTTCAGCAGCCGGCTTCTTCTACACTCTCTGCCTGAAACGCATGAGTGAAGATGGACATAAGGACGTTTTTTAGACCAAAAGTACAATGACAGAACCCCAGCTCTGATGAGACTGGTGCTGACTCAGGTTTGTGAGTCTTATTTGAAAATATTTGTTGTGCTGCTGGTTTGCCTAAAGTTAGCTTATCAGGTAAAGTTGATGGAGAAAGAAAGGGAATATTTACTATCATCTCACACTAAACACTAACAGGAACAATACTCTGCCCTGAATATGCTGAATATGTAGCTTCAGATTAAAAATTATGTGGTACAAGACATATATGATGTTGACTAGTGCGTGTGTGTGCGTGTGCGTGTCCGCGTGCGTGTGTTAAGCCCCGGATCTTCAGTCCTAAATCCGCCCCTGGGCGACGCCGTATTAGATGCCATGTTTCCTTCTGCGGGAGCCCATGACGACAAAAGACGTTTACTGCTTTGAAACAAACGTTTACAAAACTTTCACCATTCCTAAACGTTGTTTTACACATTTGCCTCTTCACTCTGTCAGAGATGAAAGGGAGTCTGATGTTCTTGTTATTTTGCTGGAGGTTGTGCTTCCAGGGATTTTTGACCCTAATGGCCATCTGTTTTAGCCTGGCCTGCCAGACCCCTCCTCTGTTTAATTCTGCACACAGAAAGAGTTAACCCCACCCCCTGAGAATTCTAACTGAGCCAATCAGAGCTGAGTAGCGTACGTCACACACCACAACACCGAGTTTGTCATAAACATGGAGACTGAAGCGGAGGTCGCTGCGGCTCTTTCCTCTGTTCTAAATGACTTGAATGTCTTTACAACCACAACAAGTAGAAGCGCTAAAAGCCTTTCTCATAAAAGAATAAAAGATGTTTGCGCCATTGCCAGACGCCTTTCTTTACTACAGCGTCACGCGGTACAGTTGGCATTTCCGTCTTTTTTGCTGATGGGTTATTTATGAGCTGGCTAGCCCCGCCCCTCAAGTGCCTCTCTGCCTGTGAGTTACCAGACTTGTTCTCTGTGCAGAATTAAACAGAGGACGAGTCCGCAAGGCCAGGCTACAGCTGTTGGTGAGGGCTTACTCGAATACAAAAATACCACTGGCTTGCAATGATTTAGGAAAGTACTGCCCCCTATTGCCAGGGAAAATACACACAGTCACTTTAAAACACATTTCAGTCAAAATTCCATTTTAGCTCATTCCTGTGTCAGAGTGATGCACGGTGATAAAACCAGTGTACACACGCCGCCCACATACTTTATTATTATTATTAATAAAAACGTGCAGCACAAATTCCTCCTTGGCTTCTGAAAAGATTCTCAGAAAAATGAGACGGCTTTAAGAAGAGTTGGTTATGTGGATACAATGCTGCTTTGTATTAAACTTTTCCCAGAGACATGCTGCATGCACCCATCATGAAAACCTGGGCATCCTAACTACTCTGATCCCAGTGAGAAACTCAAGTGAGCTCAAAAAACTGGAAGCGAGAGAATATTTCATTCCACAAAGTTTTATTCCCTAAACCATGCCTCAAAAGTTTCTGGATGATCTAAGTGGTAGATCAGTGTTTGATGTGTCATATTCAGCAGACCCATGTGCTAGTATAGACTCGATCGAGGGTCCCTTCCATTTATGGTTGTTCTTGGCACACGAGTTGGTTTTTCCTGTGGCTCTGCCTTTTCAATGGTGGTGGTGGCGGGGGGGTAGCTTATCCACTGTTGTTGTGCACAATGATCACAGAGCATTGCTTCCTGATCAACAGAGTTCTGGGAAGCTCACAGCTGGTCACAGACAGATCTGAAGGAACGCTGTCGGCCCATGCACAAAAATGTTTTTCTAACCTTCACAGGAAACCTCCATGTAGATTTATACTAACGCTTTTGATGAAGGGAAAAGTAGTGAAAAGCACACAAACAACAGCACGCAGTCATGATTGTTTTTATGTAATATTTCCTTTCCTTTGTGATGGGAAGCTTTTTTCCCATCAGTCTTTGGTTTTACGATGTTCTGCAGCATTCTTCAGTCACCTCATTAAACCTGGTTTCTCACTTTCACTTTTGCTTTTGGGAAAGTTTTCTCTTACTTTTCAAAAACATTCCTAAAACCGTCTTTTCATCCCAGTCCTGTTTCCTGACCATTTTCAGAAGAACACTCAAGGGATGAAACTGTGTCTTTTATTAATAACAGCTTGTCATGGCTGCTTAAAAACGTTTCTACTGCATGTTTGGATCAGATCAGACCGATCAGCAGCCCGACGGACAACAAAGCTTTACTTGTTCACTTCTAACATTATGGTGTGGGTTTTTTAAACTCTGCTTCCCAGAGGGAATTTCTTCTTTCTTTCTTTCTGGCTCAACATTAACATTCATGTTTGTCTCTGATCCAGGAACAGCTCACTGTGCTAACATGTACCCAGCTAGGAGTCAGGACCTTCCACAGCTGTCCCTCGCTCGTGACCACATCTTCATCCTCCTCCAGCAGTGGCTGAAGCAGTGAGTCACGGCTGGATTAGCAGAGCGGACCCAACTAACTCATGACTCTGTCAGAACACTTCCTGCTGCTACAAATGCTGCTTTGCCCAATTTTCAGTAGGAAAAAGTTTGTGTTTTTGAAAAAGTTTGAATATTTTAGAATAATCAAAGGAATGTTTTAGTCTGATTTTTTGTAAAGGCAATTAAACGCACCACTTTCTTGGATGAGTTTGGAAATGAGGCTGTCAGGGTTTTTGTCCATTCTGACATGTTGTGGAAAATTTTAAATATAAAATCCCAACAATCATTTAAACTCAACTTTAATTTCATTGATTCTGAACCAATATGCATGAAATGCTTTTCATGTGAAATGGAAAATAAACAGTTTCTGACTTAATGGAATAAAAATATGTTAATGTTCCTTTAGGTGATTCTCTAATCTTGCCTACTTTTTTCATATGATTTTGTGTTGATAATAAAACTTCAGTTTATCAAGACGGGCGACTCACTTTATTCTAACATCTGTCCATTCGAACATATTGATTCACTGATCGTTATCAGCTCCTTTATAAAAGCAGGAGTTATGTACCTTTATTGGTCTGGAGCATACAGGTGTGTGTTACCACAAAGACGAGCAAAAACCGTGATCATAGAGAAGCAGCTGATGATGCCCATCAAACAAGGTCCTTTCTATGAGTGGCAAACATCTAAGACAGCTGGAGATCCTCACGTGCTGGACGTCCCAGCACAACTCACTGAGGTGAGGGGAAGTGAGTCGATACTCAGCAGGTTAAAGGTTAGAGTTTATGATGGGACAACTGGAATAAAAATAAAGTATGACGTGTTTGGAACATCTGCAGGGCTAAACTTCTCAATGTTTGCAGAGCCGTTTCTGAATGAACCATCAGACTTATGGAAATTTGAGTTTTAGACAGCTAATGCCAAAGTAGGAATGTTTACCCATAATGCACTGGCATGAACCGAACAGCTGATGGTTTGGGTTTCCTCCATGAAGTCTTCTGTAGACCTAAGAGTCGCATCTGAGGTCATCTGGATGAAGACTGGAGCAAACTGGGTCATGAACCAGGACAATGATCCCGAACACATCAGCCCAGAAAAGCTGAACAAAAATGGAATCAAGGTTCTCAAACACTCTAGAAAATGTCCAGAACCTGTCTGAAACACTGGGGTGCATTGGTGGATCTAGGGGTGGGGCCACAGGGGCATTGGCCCCTGCTGAAATCTGATTGGACCCTGAAGTTCCCCTGTTTTGTCACTCATCGGTCCTTTGAATGATGATCGGATCATAGGTGGCGCAAGTCCAAACACCAGTGGTGCTAATGAGCCAAATGGGAATTTCCTGCTTGAAACACTGACTACGTTTACATGCAGCCAATATCCGGGTTATGATCGGGTTCAGGTCGGTATTCGGGTTTCTGAGTTGATCAGAATAACCCGTTTACAAGCACAAATAGAAAGAGTTACCCCTAACTTGCATAACCCGATTTAAATGCGGACGCTGGGGTAGCGTCAGGACGTATGGACTACGTCCAGACGCAATTAGCGTCATTTCCGGTTCCTCTCGTTCCGGTATCCGTGAAAACAACACTTTTCCCAGTTCGGAAGAGATAGCGACCGCGTTTGTTTGCGCTTTAGTTTCCTCGTCACTCCGAAAGTGTGGTGCTGTGCCGCGACTCGCCATGTTGCTCCCAACTTGTTGTTTACTTCCGGTGTTCTGGTGCATACAAGATGTCTCGCTACTCAAAAGACCAAGATTCCTTGCTAACAGAGCATGCGCAGAACACACGCTTTGATGGGGATATCCCGGTATGCGTTTACACGACCAAACATTCGGGTTAGAAAAGGGTTACCCCAGGTGTAGTAACCGGGTTTTTAAAAACCCGGTTATGAGCATATCCAGGTTTCTGGCGGTGTTTACATGGACCTGCGGAACCGGGTTATTGTGAATATTCAGGTTTTAAAAAGGTTACTGGCTGCATGTAAACGCACTGCTTGTGTAAGGATTTTGGACTAATGCCACTTATACACTAGCATCAGCTCCACTCCGCTCCGCCTGCCCCAGCCTAGCCGCGTTGGTTCCACTCTGCCTTAAGCCGGGCGGACACTGTGCAACCTTCTCTCTCGTAGCATTCAACTTTAGCTCAAACTGTACGACTTCCTTGCAGAGCAAATCTCATACGTCATATGCTCACACTGTATGACCCGGTTCTTGGATTTGACCTGACAGCTCACACTGTACGTCTGGTGGCAACACGTCAGACATACAAATATGCTAAAAATAGCAGTTTTTACACAACATGTTATCCATGTCTGTAAGGAGGACACGGATTTATGGGTGTTGGAGGAGGAAAATGAAAGAAAGAAAGTAATTCAATGTTTAATCAGTTTAATTAGACATAAACACGACAAACACGCTTTTCTGACAATCCTTGTTATTGTAACAGAATGGAATGACTGTTTTTCCCTCCTCTGCACAAGACTAGTCTGCATGAGATATGGTCTCAAGGTCTCACGCATCCCTTCTAACCTGCTTATTTTTCAGCTTGTCGTTGGTTCTTTCGTTTGAAGAGCAGAGATCAGGATTGGCCACTCCGTCACTTTCTCTGGAACGCTTGAACTGGCGTTAGAGCTGACGTGGCATAGTTTTATACTTCGGATGTTATGGTTTATTGTCGAATGAAAAATTACCAAAACCATCAAAACCACACCTCTGTCAGATCTATAAGATTCTGACTGGCTGAAGCTTAATGCGAAGACATCACCTTCAGTACCTGTGAGAACAAGTCGCTTCTTCAGATTTGCTGGTTCTGATTAACATCACACGCCATCCATTAACCGTCTCATCCACCTTAGTTACACCATACATTTAGTTTTAAAGTCAGTCTAGTTTAATTTGTTAGTAATAAAATTCTTATCTTTTAAACTTGACTCTCTCTTCTGTTGTCTCTTGAGTGAATACGAAGCGGTTATCTAATCTCTGCAATAAAAAGATCCAATCTTCTGGTTTAAATAACCTCACAGATCCGTAAGGCGGATTTCATATTTCCTATGGAATCCCACGCCTTATGGCTCATTAAATAACACGTAATCTATTTCATTACACTATTGTGTGCAAAGAAAAATGTTTAAATAAAAATGACCTACGTGTATTAATATGAAATAGCTGGCGAGCCATGTTGACGTATGTTTGCGCATGTGCCGTGAGCGGTTCTGGTACTTTTTGTGCGGGTAACTTCTAATCCCAAGGCACTTTAACACAAAAAGCATGTCTTCCTGCTTCTTTTTAAAACAAAAGAAACTGGTCAGTGAACTGAGTAGGATACCAAGAATTCATGGGTACAAACAGTATTTGGAAATAAGATGGAAAATCAAAATGCATTTGAAAATAAATAGCAACCACTGAAACTGACACCTAGCTTTTAAGAAGAGCCATGTAAGGTGTTCATACATATGACAATGGTGACGCACTGCAAAACAAAGGGACATAAGCTGTTATAAACAACGAAGACTTGCAACTGTGGAGCTCTGATAAAGTATATCAGGGCGATCTAAAATAGGAAACAGAAGCTGAATTACAATGCACTTCCTTACTATAAGGGCACAATTGATTGATATAAAGTTTTTATGAAACACTTAACCTTGTAAGAGATTTTTTATTTGAGTTCTGAAGGAGAAATCTGGCTCCCACCTTACCCCTAAATATTTGTTTTTATCAGGTGAAAGCACTCGTGAAGAGTCCAAAAAGTTGAAATTGAGGTACGTATTTGCAACAAAGCTAGATGTATGTTTTCCTGAAAAGCATGGAATACGTTTTTGATTAATTGAGAAGAGATTTACTTTGAACCAACCTGCACTTTCATGAAATGAAAGGGCGACTGAAGGGTCTCCTGAATTGCCATTATGTTTAACTTAGAGCAATACATAATTGTATCATCAGCATCAATAGGCGAACCAAACAAGAAGTGCAACACGGCGGCAGGTCATTAATAAAATGTGAAAATAATAAAGGCCCCAATGAAGAGCCTTGAGGAACACCTCTAATGACCCCTGCAATTTAGACTCTTCGTCTTAGTATATTGTGAGCAGTGGTGAAAGAATTAATTAAACCAAAGCAAAAACAATCTTGAAAGGCCAAAGGAATTAAATTAGTTTAACCAAAGACTTTGGTTAAATCATGGAAAATAGCACCAAAGGTCAGACTATTGTCAAAACCAGTGTGAACATGGTTAGTTTTGGAAAAATGTTTTCTAAGTCCTGATTGGTATTGATATAGTAATGAACACATGAAAACAATGAACTTTGTGTACTGGAACTAGTTTTTTGGCTCGTTAATCCCAACTTTAACAGCAGTTCTAAAATTATTTAGAAAACTTTACTGTAAGATAAAATGTGCAATATCACTTTTGTTAAATGCTGTTCATGAATCGGCACACTGTGCGTCCAACTGTTGCCAAATACTCGTATTAAGCTAAGTCTTTGAGCAGAATTTCAATGACGTTCAAAATAGATGTTATCACTGAGTTTGTGAACTCTTGAGTGCAAAATCATGCCTTCATTATTGCAAATGAAAATTTAAGGAAGCCCCCAAACAGACTTTCTCCAACAGAGAACTGACTTTACTTTGTGTTAGCCAAAAATATGCAATACGTGCACAAATCTGATACTGATCATCAAAACCTTTGTTTTGTTTGATGATGAAAGTTGGTTTCTAAATGGTTTCTTGGATCCTCCTCATTATTATTCTATTCAGGCCAAGAGGTTCTGAAAAATCATGGTTGGATGCTGGCCCGTGCCATTTTCCTCTGTTCTCTCAGAGATTAAAAAGCACAGTTTGAAACTGGAATGACATTGAGAATAATTGTACTGCGCAGCTTGCCATTTGTGCACTCTGACTACCTCCTAAAAACTTATTTGTTTTATTTTGTTTTTAATGCAAATTCCATTTTTGCATCCAAGCTGAACATATCAGTCCCTCAAAGACAGAATTAGACCCGTGAAATCAGAGTCATTCACTCAGTGAAGCTAAACTACAAAATGAGTTTATGATAATGGAATATCAGAATCTTTGTTATCAGAAACATTTATGCAGCCTGTGTGTGTAATCATCCATCTCCTGAAACCTCAGAGACCAACCCGTGATCATTTTTGGTGCAGGATGTAGCAAACTTTGTATTGCTTCTCAGCCTTTTTCTTAATCTAGCCTATCAATTAAAACATTTTAAACCTAGAAACTGTTCTGAAGAAGTCCCCTGCTGCCCCGTATTCCTCAACACAAAATCTCTCTGAGTGCCAAAAACAGTCCATAGGCTGCACTGAATAAACAAATTCAAAACTTATAGATGAAGTTGTTTTTTATGTAATATGCAATTATGATCCAAACCGAATTTTAGACCAAAAAATTCTCCTGAGGGATAAACATTGTTAAGATTTCTAACACTTTTATGCATGAATTAGGATAACTCCAGTCAGGATTTATTTTTCTTAAATACTTTTCTCTTTTACCAATCTTTTGACAGGAAATTTGAAACATTTGAGTCAATTTTGAGTCTTTACAAAAATGTCTATCAGTTGTTGCACAGCATGCATTTTTATATATTCTTTTTATTTTAACAAACTATATATTTTTATGTTATTAAGCACTTTTTGTGCAAAGGTTTGCCGGTTGGGCACACGCTCGGGACTTTTATTGTGAAGAGGTCAGAAGCAGGAATATGTGTGTGTGTGTGTGTGTGTGTGTGTGTGCGTGCGTGCGTGCGTGTGTGTGTGTGTGTGTGTGCGTGCGTGCGCGCGCGCGTGTGTGTGTGTGTGTGTGTTAAGCTCAACTCGCTTAAATAATCACTGTTTGTCATCAACATCAAAACAAAATTCAGTTTTAGATATTGAAAAAACTTATTAAACAAAATAAATCAACACCAAATCAAATTATCTATCTATCTTTCTCTAAAATGTTTTTTTACTGATAGATGGAACATTTCAAGAAGGTTGTGTTTTGTTTCGTGGGGCGATAATGTGAGCTTTACTTTGAAAGTCAGGCGGATGTACACGCTGTCCGGGTCTTATAGTTGTCGTTACAGAGACGCGAACTGCGTGCTCGGTTGTTAGTTGGAAGGCGGAGTTCAGTCTAATAAATTCCTCTGAGAAGCAACGGCGGAGTTGGTAGCAGCGCTCCGGTTTGTGGGATAAAAAGCTAATTTTCTCCTTCATTAACGACACGGACCAACTTCCGCTTCACGCTTGGACGTTTACTTACAACGGACTGATAAAGGCTCCCAGTTTCACCTGCAACAACAAGTCCACTAAAATAGCGTCACCTCCTTATAGGTAAGAACCACCGTCTGTCCGGTTATTTTCCTCTGACGAGGCGTAATTAGCTTGTTAAACAAGCCCAATGTAGTTATTCGCTTTTTTTAAAAGCTGCTTTTATTTAGACGAACGTCTCCTAATGTGGAACAAACGCTTCTAGTTGGTTTTAGCGCACATGTTGAGTCCGCTAGATTAAGCTATTTGAGCTAAACTGCCTAAAACCCCATTTTCTGGTTGAAATTTAACTAGTTAACGTCTCAGTAGACTAGTCGTAAGGGAAAGTCAGCTCCTGAGTGGCTCCCTGCTGTTCCCATGCGTAGGAACGAGGAGGGATGCAAAATAGTTTAGTTTAACTAGACTTTAGTCATAACAAACCTTTCTTTGTGTTTGTCACCCACTTCTATCAAATAAGATGAATTTCCCTCAAGATGAAAAATAAATTAAAAACCCAACAGCTTGCAGCAGGGAGAGCAGGGACGCCCCATCTGTCCTGAGGACTCTCCGTAAGTGGAGAGGCTCACAGGGTTTGCTAATGGGCCAGAAGATTTAATTTAGTTTCATCAAACAGAAGCAGAGAGCAGATCCTCCCCTCCCCTTTTCAACACTGATAACATGTGGTCTTTAGACAGCGAAGGCTGATTGGTCAACGCAGAAATAAAAATATTTTAGGACAATAAAGGTGGCCATGGGGAATTAAACATTAACACTTGAGTAAATAAAAATGAGGTAACTTAAAGGATTGCCTGCTGATGTGTTTCCTCAGGATAAAGCAGAGAAGGCGTCTTTTTGTGTTCCTTTTATTGTTCCAGGTGCTGAAGATATGAAAATGAGGAGTGCCTCCTTGTGTTGCCTGCTTGCACTGGTGATGCAGCTTGGCCTTGAGGGTGTGCTGTCTGCAGCTCCATCGTACGGTGAGCGCGGCTCAGACCTCGGCATACAAGTGTTTCAGCAGGTGGCCCGCTCAAAACCTGTGGAAAATGTGGTTCTTTCACCCCACGGAGTGGCCTCCATCCTCGGGATGCTGCTTCACGGAGCCCACGGGCAAACTAGGAAGCAGATCATCAGTGCTCTGCATTACAAGAAAAAAGGTAAACAGGATGTGCATAGAATGACCCCCTGACCTGAAATCCCAGCCACATGGGGTGGAATCTTAGTTATTACTTTTAGGTGTAAAAGAAGACAAACTTGTTGTGCACAGGACCTTATAAGATGCTGAGAAAGCTGCACAAGACCTTGACATCCAAGTCGAACCAGGACATTGTGCTGCTTGCCAACGCCATATTCAGCCAGAAGGATTTCCCTATTGAGGAGACATTTGTGGCCACAAACAAAGCCAACTTCCAGTGTGAGAGCAGGGCCCTGGACTTCAGCGACCCCAGTGTAGCGGCCAACCAGATCAACGATTGGGTCAACAGTAAGACCAAAGGTACAGATCATTGCTTGGTGCAACTTTAAACCCTGTTTTCAAACCATCACCCTAAAAGTTGCATGTGTAGGTGTGCCTCTGTAAGGGTTGTGTTTAGGTAGTAAAGTATTAGTGTCAGGTTTTGACTTGTTCTTCCTGAATTACCTGGAATGGAGGTAGGTGTTTGCAAAGGCTGGTTTATGTCAATACAACCTAGAGAATCTCATCACACACACCTGGGGTCTATTTCACTACTATTGTTTCTACAATTTTTCTTGCTGTTGGTCAGCAGGTTGTTGCTTCCTCTTTTTTGGTGAATCTAAATTGTGTTGTGATTTTGTTGAGCCTTTTTAATTTCTGGTTGTCATTTTTCCTCCAGGTCACATCCCCAGCCTGATCAAAGAAGACATGCTGGATCCGGCTCTGACCCGTCTGGTCGCTATTAACTCGATCTACTTCAAAGGCTTGTGGAAGTCGTGCTTCCAGCCCAATAACACCAAGATGAGGCCCTTCAACGGGGGGGATGGAAATGTTTATAAGGTTCCAATGATGTCGCAGCTATCAATCTTTAACATAGGTAAGTGAGATGGCTCTGAAATGGTTTGATCTGGTCTGGAAAAGATGACGCGTTCACACAGTGGTTATAAATAAATGTGGACCCCCTCTGCTCTGGTATAATCAGTCAATCAATCAATCAATCAATCAATCAAGCAAGCTTTATACACTCACCTAAAGGATTATTATGAACGCCTGTTCAATGTCTCCTTAATGCAGTTATCTAATCAACCGGTCACATGGCAGTTGCTTCAAGGCATTTAGGGGTGTGGTCCTGGTCAAGACAATCTCCTGAACTCCAAACTTAATGTCAGAATAGGAAAGAAAGGTGATTTAAGCTAGTTTGAGCATGGCATGGTTGTTGGTGCCAGACGGGCCGGTCTGAGTATTTCACAATCTACTCAGTTACTGGGATTTTCACCCACAACCATTTCTAGGGTTTACAAAGAATGGTGTGAAAAGGGAAAAACATCCAGTATGCAACAGTCCTGTGGGTGGGGTTTCTTGGCACACTTTAGGTCCCTTAGTGCCAATTGGGCATGGTTTAAATGCCACGGGCTACCCGAGTATTGTTTCTGACCATGTCCATCCCTTCATGACCACCATGTACCCAGAGGCGGAGCTGGCCTAAATGGCGCCCTGTGCGAGATCCCCCGTGACGCCCCCCCCCCCCCCCCCCCCCACACACACACACACACAAACACACACACAAGAAAAAAAATTACACCTACAACTTTGTTTCAAATGGCGTGGAGTGTATTATATATAACAAAGTTTGCTAACTGAATACAACATCCAGCTCCTGGCCACCTTTTCACCACTTGTCAAAGTTCTACTGAAATAGTGATGATGACAACACCTGCCATCGCCTTCATTCCTGGGAAATATGAAAGTAGTTGGCACTTAGTAGGTCCTCTTCGAACTAGCTCTGTGCGTATGCTGTCGGTTATTGGTGATGGCCACTTGGCTGGGTCTGAAGAAAGAGGCTCATCATCACCTTCAATGGGACTCATTGGTTGATCGTTCAGGCTTCTCTGTTGACAGAAAACAGAAGCGTAACTCAACACATTGCTATGTGGACCATTTCACATATTCTATTAAAATACAATATGTGACATTCAAATTTCTCTAATGTTTGCAGGACACACACACACACACACACACACACACTTGTGCAAAACTTACCTGACATATCTTGTTGGGGAGACGTGGCAGCTGGCTGTCCCTCATCAAGTTCACATATACTGGTAGGACTCTCTATTGACAGAAAATGGAAGCATAACTCACCACATTGCTATATGGAACAATTCCCATATTCTGTGAAAATACTATTTAAATGTCTATAGCTAAATGTTTGTTGGACACACACACGTGTGCAAAACCCACCTAAAGTATCTTCCTGGGGAGATGTGGTGCCAGCAGACTGTCCCTCCTCGAGTTCAAATACTGGCCTACTGGTATGAGCAATGGAGGTAGATGGCTGTTCCTCAGTGGCAGCTGATGTCATCCCAAAATATCTGTGTAGGGCTCCTGATGTTGCATAAAACAAACAATACAATCTTCATGTCACGTCTGTTGCTTAAGCATTTTAATTAACATGTTACAATGAGCATTTACAGTTTTCAGCAGTGGTGGAAAGAATTCTGAAAATCTGTACTCAAATGCAAGTACTGTTACAATGCTAAAATATTACTCATTTACAAGTAAAAGCACTGGTGTTAGAGAAATACTGAAGTAAAAGTACTAATTATTCATAAAAACCTCAGAATATTATTTATTTTTAACGGCTGATGTCACCATCACTTCTCCAGACTGGGGCTGCCTGGAAATTGTGTGTTTTCCTTTACCAAAAGTTAAAACACCAACAATCTATTAATCATTAATAATTGATAAAATACAAAACAAGTGTTTTTCCCTAATTTTTTTTGTCATTTTAAGTTTTTATTTCCTTATTCAGCAAATGTCTCCGGCACACAAAGAACTAAATGACCAGAGGAGCCACAACTATTGATTAAATATCCATGAATCCATTTTAACTGGTTAAATTCTTCAACTCTCCCACGCTGCTTCAAGGTCACTGTGAGTTAACATAGCCGCGGTGTGCTGTGCAGCACACTTAACGCAACACGATGACATCATCGACTTGTACAGTGCTGAAAGGCGAGACAGTCTCAACTTTCAGCTAAAAAAAGACCGCTCTAGCTATTATAGTTTTTATGTTATGGCAGTTTACAGTATGAACGGGATCTTACTAGCAGGGCACCTCCAGCGGCCCGCTGCCGCTCCGTTTTTCGTGGGGTAAATAATACGTAGCTCATTTCCAGAGTCCAAATAGAAAGGCGAATGGCGCCGGCGCGAGACCTGCCGCCCGCCGTCAATGTATTTCAGCAAAATTCTCAAAGACTCATTTTAATTTGATAGCGTTTGGTTATCAGCCTTTCGGTTTTCCCACTCTTAGCTTTTCATAAAAGCTCATTTGACAAAGAAAAAGTTAGCGGTTGGAAGTAGTTCTAAATACATGCAACGTAAGAAGCTAGCAAAAGACATTTGAAGGGATCATCATAGCACCATGCAAAACGTACAGATTAGAGAGGTTAGTTAATCAATAAGTTGGGGGACAGGCGGGACAAATACCAACTAAATAATAAAGACATGCATACCTGCATCTTTTCCTCGTTTCTCCTCCTCTTCTTTTCTTTTTTTCCGAAATTGGGCACCAGATGGCTTTGACCGCTTCTTTTCCATTATGTTTGTGAGCGGTCCATCATCACTCTCCGAGATCCCTCCGCCCCCCACCTGATGAAGGGCGCTATAGAGCGCACTACAGAGGCGCGGTGGACACAAGGGGGCGCAATAAAATCCCAATATAAACGCAAACAATGACTTTGTTGTGCTTTTATTACAGAAATATTATTATCATCACTCATCATTATTATTATTATGAAGAACATGTGATTTCTATGTTTTGTTGATGTATCGGTTGATGGAAGAAAAAAAAATTAAAATAAAAAAAAATAAAAAAAAAAGAAATTAAATGCCGCCCCCTCCAGACTGCCGCCCTGTTCGGCCGCACATGTTGCACATATCAAGCTCCGCCACTGCATGTACCCATCCTCTGATGGCTACTTACTTCCAGCAGGATAGTGCACCATGTCATGAAGCTCAAATATTTTCAAACTGGTTTCTTGAACATGACAATGAGTTCACTGTGGATGTACAAGATGCTATCCTATCAATATGGGCCAACATTTGTAAAGAATGCTTTCAGCACCTTGTTGAATCAATGTCACATAGAATTAAGGCGGTTCTGAAGGCAAAAGGGGGTCAAACACTTTATTAGTATGGTGTTCCTAATAATCCTTTAGGTGAGTGTATGTAAAGCACTTTACACACATGGAGTGACCAAAGTGCTGTACCTAATAAAAAAGAACCATAAAAATACATGATGGCAACAATAAGAGAAATTAAAACATTGCAGTCAAGCGTATTTCTGCTCATTCGGTATTAAAAGCTAAGCTAAAAGATAAGTCTTTAAAAAAGACTTAAAATCATCCATAAAGTAAGTTATAATTAACCTAAAATCAGTTAAATGCTGTTATAAATGATTACATAAATGCCCACTCGCAAGGTGGGCATTCACCGATGTAAACAAGTTGCCAGAATTCCCCTGCTGGATTTATAACATTATGTGATAAACAGCGTTTTACTTTACACTGGAGCTGATAAAAAAAACAACTAAAAAAGCCCAGATCCATACCAGTTTTTGTTACCGGTGGGGTCACCGGGTTCAGATACTACTCACACACCGGGATGAGACAAGATGGCTCTTAACGGCAACACTCATCATGCTAAATAACGTCATTTTAACACACGTAATCCATCATTTAAACAATATTATTGTAACAGTTGGCTCACATTTCACAGCGGATGGTAACGCATGTCCTCCATGGTGAAATATAGGATTATCAGTTAGTAACATAAACACATTTGTCATTTCAGATCCATCACAGTCAGCCTCTGGTATTTGAACGTTAGTCCTACCCGGTAAAACGGTTTGCTGCAAATCCCAAAATACTGTGTGGGCTGCTAGTCCGTCTGATCGCTGTGGTTCATCTCCATCCTCAGTCTCCACCATCTTGTCTGTTAGCGCAGTCAACCTCGCAGCAAACTATTACCATTTTACTGTGACACCAACTACATAAAAGTGATAAAAGGCACTTCACTAACTTCACCAGAAGATCAACGTGCGTAAACAGTCTGTTAGCCAACCGTAATGGGAAAGAAGTGAGCACCCATGAGTAACCCATGAGTGGCGTGACGTCACGTGCAAGGGGTCATTTACTACGGTTGGTCTGGATCTCTAGGCCTTTTAAACGGTTAGCTTCATTAGTGCGAGCTAGTTTGTAATTCAACCCACCCAAGCCTCTTTCACAGAGTTGAGCAGATCTTTGTTGTTCTGATCAACATGCTAAATGTTTTGATGACTTGCTTTTGATAGGGGCTGGGACAACAAACCCTTGACTCCTCAGTTAAGAGGTGAAGCGTGTTTTTCTGAGTCTACCAGACAACCGTGTCCTGGATGAATGAGAACCTTCACTATATTAAAAAAGCTGCTGCGCTCCAGTTCCAACCAGTTAATCAGAACATTCTTGGCCCGTTGGGGGTCTTAAATAAACTGGAGGCTTCATACAGACAAATTTGTATTATTTTCAGTCGGAAGGTGAATTCATTCTTGTTTTTTAACAAAAACAAACGGTAAACCAGCAATAATGTGATCCTTTCAGCTGGTTTTTACTCATTCTCTTCCTGTGTTTAATCCTAAAACATCTTAAATCTCCTCTGTGAAACTGAGAAACTGAATGGCTTTGACTGATGTGGCATCTATATGTTCTAAAGGCTTTATTTACCAGTCCTTTAGATCTGGACTCCAGTTAAAGAGTCGCTGAACCAAAATGACCAGAGTCAGTCAGGAGAAGCTGAACAACACATGTTGCTCATTTTCTGTTTCACCATCATTTATTTCAGCATGACAGACGTTTTTTGGATTGGTAGGAACCGTCTCTAAGGAGATTTGTCCCAAACCCCACACGAGAATAGGTTAAATGTGTAACTTGGCAGTATTTCATCTTGTGGATTTAAATTTAAAGGTAATCTCTGGTAACCGTCTGATTCACAGACCAGCTTGTGGACATGTCACCTCCTCAGGATATTATTTAGTCTTGTGTGGAATGAAACGATGCACGAGTCACTCGTCTATGTTTAGAGGAGTGGTGAGAGCAGTTTGGTGAGCGTGGGGATAGGTCCTCATAGAGGGACTGTGCTAAAGTGGAGTTCAGCAGAGAGAAACGGATATTTACGTGGTGTGTTATTGAGGTCTGACCTCACAACGGCCCTAAAGGGAAACCTGTTGGTCATATTTTTATTTTTCTGTGTGCTCTCATTACAGATGAGATTGTGTTAGTGTTGACACATCTTTGGCTTCATGAGTCAGATATTTGGTCCATGGTTGTGTAATAATGTTGAACAGAATAGCCGTTGAATGGGTTGCTATGGTGACCTTACAGGCCGTCGTCAGCCACAATGAACATGTTTGTCCTTCCTGTTTCTGATCATTTAACCAAACTTGACACAAGAAATAAGTGACTGAGTGTTTGGTTGGTGGTTTCAACGCTTCGCCATCTTTACTGCGAGGCAGAACCTTTTATCTGTGGAATCAGAAACACGGATAAACATCTGAGTAGCAGCTCCTGTGATGTTCTGTTGGTTCTTGAGTTTCCTGGTGGATTAGAATATTGAATTTTCCCACAATAACCTGGGCTGTTTTTGCACTTTATTCATGTTGGCGTGTTTGCAGCCTTTTCACGTGTTGGTCATTCCACAGATTCATGGTCCTGACCAGTTCTACCTCCTAGTAAAGATGACCAATCAGGGGTTAGGTTGAGATTTATTCCCATGAAGCATAATCAACCAAACTCTGAATTTCTTACCTTAAGTGATGTTAAACCATTTTTGCTCAGACTTTAACCCAATTTATCACACTCTTGATCCAAAACAAGTATAAATGAAAGTAAGATCATAAAGAGGGGCAGCCTCCAGACGGAAGGCACAGAGCTCCCCACCAAAACCAACGGTGAGCTCTGTTCCACAACAGATTACGTGTGTGTGTTAGGGCTGTCGCGGTAACCGCAAAAATGAAATATCGCAATATGAAGAAACCCACCGCGCTGCATCATGCGCCACCGCGATTACTGAACTTGGTTCAACTCAATGATGCATGTTGAGACGGATGGCTGCACTGGTATCAAAACGAAACATTACTTCGCTCCTTTGGGAGCACTTTGGTTTTCAGTACGTCAGCTGCTGCGCAGCCAGAGTCCTTGGCCGAGACAGAGCTGCCACCAGCGGCAAAAAAATAATAATAAACGCTCGGAGACCTGCTGAAGTCCCGGACAAGCACTGCTTCTGCAGCTGTCCCGAAGAGAGTTTGAGCCGAGCTGGAGCTCACTCGCTACCTGCAGGAGGAATGCATCCACCCTAAAGAACCCCCCTGACATGGTGGAGCAACAACCGGGAGAGATTCCCTTTGCTCGCCAGTCGCACGCAAGTTGAGTTCGGAAGCGAGCGGGGCCGGACCGGAGCGGAGGGGAGCGGAGGTAGTGGAATTTGGGGTAAGTGCAACGAGCGCACCATCCGAGAGGGTTTTCAGTGTTGCTGGAAATGTTGCCACCCCTCTCAGATCCTCTCTCAAACCGTATATGGTTAACATGCTGGTTTTCTTTGTGGGTAACAAGGACGTGACCGAGCTATAAATCACCGTCATTCGTGTGTGTGAAAGTGAAATGATAGTGCCCCCCGGCGCGCACGCGCCCGGTACATGTAATTTTTTATGCTTGATTTTAAACAACTAAACAAAATGGGGACTTGTTTCTTATTTGTTAGATGCTGCAGCCAAATTTGCATTTAAAAGTTTAACCTTCTCCTGAATGTTGTTGTTTTTAAGTTCAGTCGGACTCCGACTGTCGGAGAAACAAACGTTACTGCGATCTGTGTTGTTACTGCCCTTTGATCTGCATTCAGTAAAGTGTTATAAAAGAAGGCACGGCAATTTTTAACCTTTTCTAAATGTGTAAACATTATGTTTAGATAGTACTGCAATAAAAAAGTGCTGCAATAATATCGCACACCGCAATATTAAGACACCCTGAATCACCGCAGGGGGAATTCCTCAACCGCGACAGCCCTTGTGTGTGTGTGTGTGTGTGTGTGTGTGTGTGTGTGTGTGTGTGTGTGTGTGTGTGTGTGTGTGTGTGTGTGTGTGTGTGTGTGTGTGTGTGTGTGTGTGTGTGTGTGTGTGTGTGTGTGTGTGTGTGTGTGTGTGTGTGTGTGTGTGTGTGTGTGTGTGTGTGTGTGTGTGTGTGTGTGTGTGTGTGTGTGTGTGTGTGTGTGTGTGTGTGTGTGTGTGTGTGTGTGTCATGGGAAGTTCAGGCTGGTGAAAGACTTGCTTCATTTCGGTGGAAAAACTACTTTTGCTCTCTGAGGAGCGTTGCAGACTTCTAAGGTGCTGAGTCACGTCTGTGGGGTCGCTGCTGCACGCTCGCCTTTCATGTTGCTACAAGTTGAACATTGGCTGGTGTAAAACTGTCTGTCTTGATGCCAGGAACGTTTTTCATGCAGATGATGTTTGAGAGGAACACACACGTGCACTCAAATGCTTATTAACACAATCCTCTAACTAGAATACCCAGGGTATCTGCGGGTCCTTAAAAAAGTCTTAAACAGTCTTAAATTTGGCTCCCTTAAACCTGCAGATACCCTGATACCTCACGTGTGTTTAGACTTGGAGAAGATGACCTTCTGGAGTTCAAATTGAGCTTCAGAATTTAAAAAAAAAGTTTTTAGGGATTAAGCTAGCTGAGTGGTTCAGGACCTGCTGGTCTAGCTGGGATTTGAACCCCTGTGTGGATGAAAATGTCTTGGAGACTGGTCAGACTGGTTCTGGAACACAACAGAAGCTTAGATGACCACCGGTTCTAAACCACACCAGCTGCTCCAGATGGACTCCAGCAGCAGAAGACCACTCCAGGTGTCTCTCCTGTCAGCTAAGAGCAGGGCACTGAGGCTGATTGACACAGGATCACCAGAACTGGACCAGAAGAGACAGGAAACCCTTTCCTGGTCTGAGTCTGGAGCTGTCTGGTCAGAGTTTGGTGTCGCCAACTTTAAAGCATGGCTCCATCCTGCCTAGTGACGTGTTTGTTCTAAAGAGGATCTCTCTAGTGTTGTGATTTGAAGTTGTATATTTATACACTGTAATTAGATAATTTAATTATCTGATTTTGTATATTTATACACCTTAATTAAATCTTAAGTAATCAATCAGAAGTGGTTGTTTTTATCATCAGGGAGTTTACTTAAACACTCTGTATTGACTGAGAGACAAGAAGAGAGTTGGGGTCGTTTAAGTATCTTTAATTTCTATAATTATAAATTCTTACAATCTACCAGGACTATCTCAATGATGAATGCATATGGATTTAGATGTTTCGTGTTGGTGTGTGTGTGTGTGTGTTTTGTTCAGAATCTCTAGGCTGACGTAGCAAATCTGGTTTGTTATGACTAGGCTACCACGAGGCTTCAGAAGCTGATGACATGAGCCGCCATATTGCCACGTACCGTCGATGGAGTCTCCCGTGTAGATCAGGAATTGCCAGGTCCTAAGACCTCGGTGGTACTGGAGCTGGTTGAAACAGCGGTCACAGCACACAACGCCCGTCTGAGGATAACTCCAGTAGTAGTCGGCAGGCGTCAGCAAGTTCACTCTTATTTTGAAGGAACGTTGTCTTGTTGGTACAAACGACGGAAATCTCCAGCTTGAACAGTTCTCAGCTTAAAACAGGAAGTACAGATGGCCAGCCTGTACTCCTCTTTGCGGTGATGGATTGAGAGCTGGTTGAAAACAATGTTGAGAGTATGATGTAACTCCTTGGAGCTCGGATCGAACAGAGCTGATGTCAACGTGGAACTGAATATAAAATGGCGTTGCCTTCTTTTATATCTCCCTGTTGTTTATGAATCTTAGTAAACCGGATTGGACTACTTTCATAAACAAACCAGATTCTGCCCTACCACAGACGAAAGTTCTGATTGGTTGAAAATAATGTGTCATGTGTTTCCATGGTAATGTATATCAGTCTGTCTGGCGCAGTCCTGTTTATTCATTTAAACACATAACTCATGACCTCTTTATTTCACAGATCATTCACCTGATTATTAATGATCAACATATACTTTGATTAGCTTATCACAAATAAAGTACTTTGATTAATCAATGAAAAGCGTTCTTCTTCTGTTCTTCTGTACTTCTCCTGGAATGTAAACATACTGAACCAGGCGTCTGACCTTGGTGATGTTACTGTGTGAAGGGGCAGCTGTTAAGGGCAGACCATTATAAGCTTCATAACGCTACACTAGTGTGTTCTGGGGCCAACCCTGGTTGGAATCTGGACCTGATCTTGTTGGTTATGGTTGAGCTGAAGGGCACTCTGAGGTGACTCGTGTTGTGACCTGGAGCTTTATAGACCATCTGAATTTACTTCAGTCACAACATTGCTGTTGGCTTGACCGCTTTCTCCAAACATTTCATTGGTAATAGAAATGAGCGTGAAACCAACATCTGTTCTGTGTCTAACTGAACCTTCACCTGGCGTTCTCTGTTAGGTGTAGCCACTACGCCGGAGGAGCTGAAATACAGAGTGATCGAGCTGCCCTATCACGGCAACACCATCAGCATGCTGATCGTCGTGCCTTATGAAGAGGACACCACTCTGTCCCAGATCATCCCACACATCAGCACAGCCACGGTGCAGAGCTGGAGCAGCCTCATGCACATGAGGAAAATCCGCCTCCTCATGCCAAAGTAAGACAAGTTCACTCCTGTAGGACTGCAGCTGTTGGTGTGGGCCACCATAACGTGTGTGTGTGTGTGTGTGTGTGTGTGTGTGTGTGTGTGTGTGTGTGTGTGTGTGTGTGTGTGTTTTAGGTTCACTGCAGATGCAGAGGTGGATCTGAAAGAACCCCTGTCAGCTCTTGGAGTAACAAACATGTTCAGTCAGGAGACAGCCGACTTCCGACACCTCAGTGAGTAAACGTATCGTCACAGTTAACCTGCTGCTGATGACACAAACACTCAGGCAGTGGGAATGTTCTCACTGGAGGTTTAGATGTGAGGCAGCGTTGAACTGTGGGGGTTGTTTACTGCTGGGAGCCAGTAGGAGCTGTGAGTGGTCTGTGTGAAATCCTGCATCAGTGCTGGTCTGACGCACTGAAGCAGGCGTGTCAGCCTGCAGGCCACGTCTAAACACATCGTCAGGTCTTACGTTGGATGAGCAAAAACAAAAGTGTACCAGACTTTACCGTCAGCTGATTCAGGACGCGTACCGATGTGGTAAAAACTCCCCGAAGGTTTCAGCGTGTTAGCGGTACCCACCTTAGAGTCTGGTCAGTTACAGTTGAGTCATTAAAGCTAATCCAGACTTAGTCCTGCCTGCTTTTACCTGGTCGACTGGGGCCACACTCATACCCTGACTCTTGTTGTTGTTTATGAGTAACATCTCATCCAAGCTGGGATCTGCTTCCTGCTGTCATTAAAATGTGAGTGGCTTCACAAAGCCTAGACTGTGAGCCAGTGCAATGTGTGGAAATCACTACGAGTCTATAAAGGTCCACCGAGGAGGAAGTGAGGTCCTGACTGAAGCCGGTAGAAGACTCTGCTCGTGGAGAAGCCAGCTAGAGGTCATCAGCAGGGACGGTGGAAGAACCGAGCTCTGAAGTGAAATCAGGACACTGTCGCCATTTTAATCCCAAAGATGATGGTTAGCGTTATCATTTAGATCCCCTGAACACTTTAGCAGAAACCTGAATCAAAGGGATTTTAAACTAGGTGTGGGTAAAGTTCAGCCCTTTTTGTCCTCATGTAAACATTCTGCATGTTGACAGTAAACAAAACATCCAACCTCCAGCTGTGTTCTGGAAACGGGCTTCAGCATCTGTCCACACTTGGCTTCCTTTTAACCATTTACCTGCCACACACACACACACACACACACACACACACACACACACACACACACACACACACACACACACACACACACACACACACACACACACACACACACACACACACACACACACACACACACACACCACACACTGCTCAAATAATTTTTGTGTTCACCAAAAATACACAGGAAACTTGTGATGACTGATGAAAACCTCTCACACGAGTCTGGCTCTGGCTACGTGTCCTTTAATCTGAAGACTAGATGAAGGTGTTTAGTTTCACCTACCTACACGGACTCTGTGGAGTCTCGTAAACAAAAGCCTAGCTTTTACATGGGCAGCAGAAGCAGAGCTGTAGTGCCACCCTGTGGTGGGGCATGAGAACTGACGACCCCCGCTGGTGGAGTGACCTGCTGCTGTTTCCCCAGGTGCTGAACCGCTTCATGTATCTGAAGCTCTTCAGAAATCCAAAATTATCGTGGATGAAGATGGAACAAAAGCAGCAGCTGCCACCAGTGAGTGTTGTTGCTGATTCTTAAGAGCGAGACGTCTGATACACTTGTGCATTAAGATGTTGCACATTTGCAACAGCAGCCTGTTGTTTTGGTTGACGACGTTTTCACCCTTTTCTCCAGCTGCCATTTTGATGACACGATCCTCCCCTCCATGGGTGACGGTGGACAGACCCTTTCTCTTCCTCATCAGGCACCACTCAACAGGTATGAACCGTTCCAGAAAGCCCGGAGCTGCTCCTTGAACTCCTTGTTTTTGAGTACTTGATGTTTGTTAGAAGAAGAAATCAGAAATGTGGTGAATTCTCTTCCTCTCCATCCCCAGGAACCATCCTGTTCATGGGCCAGATCAACCAGCCTTGAGATCACACCCCACTAGCTTGGTTGGCAGCACTGCTGTGCATGAACACACACACACACACACACACACACACACACACACACACACACACACACACACACACACTCTTGGCTGTAGACATGCATACAGTGTGGATGTATGTTTAAGAATTGCTTTTCATGTTAATTGTTCTCTGCAGCACATAACATGCATTTCCGAATGCTTTGCAGACTTAATGTTATTTTATTTTTTGCTGTTTTACATTTTTTTTGTATTTTTTTAACTTTTAATATTTTTAAAGAAACTTTAAATGACTGATATGGTTCTTTCTCTAAACCCTGGGGTTGATCATGAGTTTTATTTATCACGCCAGTGTCTCAGTTAAAGGTTTTTCCAGTAACTCCAGCCTGTATGAAGGTTTGTGGCTCATGTTAAGATGACCGTCTCATCTGTAAAGACTTTACCCTCGGGCTAATGTTTGAAAAGTTTGTGTCCTTTGCAGGGGAAATCCACTTGTCATATTTTGAAAGAAAATAAAATTTCATTTACGGTGTGAATATTTAGTCCTTTAGTTCCAGGTGGTTTATGAATTTGTCATTTCATGTATATAAAATATGTAAATGAAACAAAACACTTCTCTTGTCCAGTTTTGTGCTGACGGTGTAGCAGCCACACTCACCTGAGGAATAAAGCTGTTACACATTCTGGTGTTTATATGTTCTTCCTGGTAATTGGAGGTAAAAGTGCTCAGGCTGGGTGGATCCAGGGAGTTTAATCTTAAAGACTCATCTTTTCTTCTTGCATTTCTTATTAAAACTCGACTCTAGGGAGTGGTGTGAGCCAATCAGCCATTTTCATTACCTGTTGCAGCTTCTTGTCTCCAAACCCTGCAGCCACCATAAACAGGAAGTTTCCTGGTAAAATGTGATTAGGATACACCTGATTCATGACCTGTTGGACTGAAGAAGCAGGCTTAGCGTTGTTTACTAGGACTGGATGTTACACCATTCCCCACAACATTCGAGTTTTCATACACGCTCAATTTGTAAACCATGATCACCATAAAGGCTTGAAATATGTTATCAGTGTGTAATGAATCCATATGTACCTATGTATTTATAGTACAGGATTTCCACTTTCTGACATGAGTGACGATTGTGAAATTAACCAGGATGTTCTAATTATTTTAGCTGTACTTGTAGCTCCCAGAGGGGGGCGCGAATCCACCTCGCGCACTGGCAGCCAGCCACCAATAAAATCCACGAAAAAAGTGCGTGAATGTGCTTGAGGCTTTTCTGCAGTCATTACGGTAATCCTGACAGCAACTCTACGTAAGCGGATCCTCCGTTTACTGGCGAGAGAGGAGGAAAACACGTCTGGCTAGGAGGAACTATGGCTGCAGAGATCCACTCGAGGCCCCAGACCGCCAGACCGGTTCTCTTGAACAAGATCGAGGGACACTCGGACACCGTCAACGCGGCCGTTTTAATTCCCAAAGAAGATGGAGTGATCACAGTCGGCGAGGACAGGTGAGTTCACCGAGCAGGCTAACCGACAGCTAGCGGGATACGTCTAGTTGCTGGTGTATAAAGTCATAAGTAAAGATGCGCTGACAAACTGATTAAAACCAGGCTTTAAACTTGGGTTAGTCAAAGGAGGCTGTTGTACCGCGGGTTGTAAATGTTTATTTGGGATTAACTAGTTTTACGGAGCATTGTTTGTGTCGAGTCGTGATTTGATGGTGGCGATAAGAACACCGCTCGACCCTAGCCTAACCCGGAGTTTATTTTACCAGGCAGCGCTGAGGGGAGCTCTGTGTTGGCTAGAGTTTCGTCTGATAAAAGCTGGGTGCGTCAGTTATAATTCCAATTTGTTGAAGTGGTTGACCTCTGACCCCGGAACGTCACACTCTCACACAGGCCGTTCTCCAAAATCCTCCAGTTTGTCGCGGTCCCCTGAAGGCACCATGACGACCACGGTGGCTGGCCTGGTCCCGTGGGTGAGGGTGTATGACACGTCCTTATCAGGCTGAATTATGGGCTGTCGCACCCAACACAGCTGCTGTAAGGAAACTTCTGACAGTTTTCACCACACTGACATCAGGAAAGGGGAAGCAGTGGTGAGACAGCTGCTGAGTGTTTTATGTGCAGCGGCTGCTTTTCAAACATTTTAAACACTTTTTATGCCAGGCTTAAAGCACAGAGGTGATGGTTATCGACCAGGAAGGGCTGGGACGCTGCCTCCAGACAGCAGAGAGACTGTAGTTGCTTAGGGTCTTGTTCATGACGGATGGCAGGATCCATAGGTTGACCGAGGTCAGCCTTGGAGATGAAATGAGGAAGATCCAGGAGTTCGGAGTAAAGCCGCTGATCCTCCTCTTCAAAAGGAGTCAGCTGAGCTGGTGTGGGTGTCCTGATGGTCCTCTGGGTCTCCCGTCCAATGGGGAGGAGACCTCAGGGCAGACCCAGGCCCTGCTATTATTGCACTTCTCCCCCAGGAGGAGCAGGACCGTGTTGTTGGAGAGAGTAAAGTCTAGGTTTCCCTTCTAGATGGTTACTATGGTGATCCATTCTGTTATAACAAAAAGAAAATGTATGGAAACAGTTTTTGAGGCGGCTTTGTTTTAAATCCCTGCTTCTGGATGTTATTTATTTATTTGCACACAACCTAATCCTTAATCTCAACATCTGATTTTTAAAAAGCACATTCTCTCTCTAAGTCCATCCGCCAGAGTTCTCTGTGAAGTTTATTTTCTCAGTTTCTTGTTTTGATTCAGCCCTTTCCACCCAGTTTGGCGTGAGTGTCCCAGTTAGAGCTCTGACTGAGTTGTTTCCTTCAGGACCATCCGAGTGTGGCTGAAAAGAGACAGCGGACAGTACTGGCCGAGCATCTACCACACCCTCTCCTGTAAGTCCGACTGAGCTGCATCTGCAGGGCAGTCCGTCTTGAGTGTCACACTGTGGAGGAAACGAGTCACCAGCTCACTGTGGTTGTCCATTTCTTCCTCCTCTAGCGCCCTGCTCCTGCATGTCCTACCACCACGACAGCAGACGCATCTTCATCGGTCAGGACAATGGAGCGGTGGTGGTGAGTGGGCACTCGGGGGTGGGGGGTGGGGCTCTAACCTGTTGCGGTTGTAAAGGAGAATTGATGTTTGTTTTTATTTCTCTTCCTGCTATCAGGAGTTCCTCATCTCTGAAGATTTCAACAAAATGAAACATGTCAAGACGTACCCAGGTGAGACGGAGTAAAGCGTTCCATTCTGTCGAGCAGTTTCATCCCTATAATAAAGACAAAGATGATAAATGGACATTTTAAGCAGCAGCTGGCGTTTCCATTAAGGAGACGGGAGTTTGGCTCCTTCTGGGACCGTCAGCCAGAGAGCCAGTGCTTTCTTTTCATTCTGGGTTTTTTTCTAGAAAAATGTTATATTAGATGTTTTCTAATGCAAAGGTTAGTCTGACATGAATACCCTTGTCTGTCTGGGGCTCATTCAGAGATGTTTTATACTCCTTGAGGTCACACCGCTCCTAAGACCCGCCCTCAAACTTAAACCAGCCTGCATGCGTTGGGCCAAAAGTCATTTTGGGGGTGTTTTTCATAAAGAAATGACATTAAACATGGTGAAAAGCTCTAGAAACAGGATTGTGCATGATATATATTATCTTCAACAAAGATAAAATTGTGCACTCTGCTGTGCTTTGGTTAGAATTGTGGAGAAATAGCATCACTGCAATGTGATTGGATAGTTGCAGTGTTGGCCCTGGGCTCTGAGATCCTGATTGAAATCATGCTCTCTAATTTCCCTCTGGGATTAATAAAGTATCTTTGATTGACTGATGCCGTCCTCCTCTCTGGCCACAGATTCAGATCTGCTTGTGTTACAGCAGCTGTTCTTTAGGGTTCTGTTGATTTAGCTCAGCTTCTAACCTTCTCCAGGACACGTTATGAGCTACGATGATGACAGAAGAGATGAGACTCGTGTATTTGTTTTAACACTATGTGGTGGTTTGTAGCCCATCAGAACCGCGTGTCAGACATGGTCTTCTCCATGGAGAGTGAGTGGGTGGTGAGCACCGGCCATGACAAGAGCGTGAGCTGGATGTGCACCCAGAGTGGAAGCATGTTGGGGAGGCACTACTTCAACTCCTGGGCCTCCTGCCTGCAGTATCCTTCACAGCCTAGCTGTGCATGCAGTAGATAGGAACACGACGAGCACTTCAAAGCCCTGACTCCTCGCTCAGATATGACCATGAGACGCAGCACGCCTTCATCGGTGATTTCTCCGGACAGATCACGCTGCTGAAGCTGGAGAAGCAGACCTACTCCACCATCACCACCCTGAAGGGTCACGAAGGTAAAGCCACGATCGAGCTGTACATTACATGCTGAACACACACACACACACACACGCACACGCACACGCGCACGCACACACACGCACGCGCACAGATGCATGCTCGCGTGCACACACACACGTGTACACACATATGCACGTGCACAGATGCATGCTCTCGTGCATACACACACACACACACACACACACACGTGTACACACATATGCACGTGCACAGATGCATGCTCTCGTGCATACACACACACACACACGTGTACACACATATGCACGTGCACAGATGCATGCTCGCGTGCACACACACACACACACACACAGAGTAAATATGCCGACGTGACTTCAGTAATTCATAGATGACCCAGATTCCTCCTCTTGACTTCATCGTGGCTCCAATGAAACGTAATCTAATGTTAAATTTGTTTTGCGGCTCTGTTATGTTTCCTGTCCAATGCCAAACCTCATGTGTAATAGAGCTATGCAGACAAGCGCATGTAATCCTCCACGATTGGAAGCAGTGCTGGGAACCTCCACGGTGATGTAAGGAGCTGATACAGTCTCAGAAAACAGATTCTGCAGCTGAATGGGTTTTATAAGATGTGAAATCATGAGGTAGACACAGCTTTTCTATTTGTTTAGTTTAATACATGAGATGGTGTAATGTGTTGCATGGAAAACCATATACTCCTTGAGGGCACACCACTCATAAGACCCGCCCCCAGACTTCTTAAACCAGCCTGCAACTTCAGGGTTCATTTCAAGATCCTGGTTCTGGTCTATAGGGCCTTACATGGACAAGCACCATCTTACATTGGTGATCTTCTTAGTCCCTACACCCCCAGCAGGTCCCTGAGGTCCAGTGATCAAAGCCTACTGGTTGTGCAGCACCAGGCTAAAGACCAAAGGAGACAGATCATTTGCTGCTGTGGCCCCCAGACTCTGGAACTCTCTCCCCCTGAGCCTGAGATCAGTGGACTCAGTGGTCTCCTTCAAAAGGCAGCCGAATACTCACCTGTTCAAGGGTTGAAGAAGGTCATACAAAAGCCAGCTTGAACAAGTGAGTCTTCAGCTGCTTTTTAAAGGAGATCACTGAGTCCACTGATCTCAGGCTCAGGGGGAGAGAGTTCCAGAGTCTGGGGGCCACAGCAGCAAATGATCTGTCTCCTTTGGTCTTTAGCCTGGTGCTGCACAACCAGAAGGCTTTGATGACTGGACCTCAGGGACCTGCTGGGGGTGTAGGGACTAAGAAGATCACCAATGTAAGATGGTGCTTGTCCATGTAAGGCCCTATATACCAGAACCAGGATCTGGAAATGAACCCTGAAGTTGACTGGCAGCCAGTGAAGCTGGAGGAGAAGCGGGGTGATGTGGGTGTGTTTGGAGGACTTGGTCAGAAGCCGAGCACAGGCATTCTGAACCACCTGTAGACGGTTCAGGGAGATTCTGCTCAGACACGTGAAAAGAGAGTTACAGTAGTCTAAGCGTGAGGAGATGAAGGTGTGGATAATTGTCTCAAGTTCAGAGTGGGACAGAATGGGACTCAGCTTAGCAATGTTCCTGAGATGGAAGAAGGAAGAGCGAACAAGAGAACTGACATGAGAATCCAGGGTGAGGGCTGGGTCAAAGGTCACGCCAAGATTCCTGACAAAAGGTTTGGTGTGGGAAGCAAGCTGACCAAAAGAGTCTCTGACTTTGGGAACCAGCTTGTCTGGGGCACAGATGAAGTTCTCAGTCTTATCTTCATTCAGCTGTAGAAAGCTCCCAGCCATCCAGGTTTAAACAGAGTCTAAGCAGGTGTGTAACAGCTGCAGCTTAGACATCTCATGGGGCTTAAATGAGATGTACAGTTGGATGTCATCTGCATAAAGATGGTAGGAGGTTCCTTTGAAGGAGCTCAGGATGTGCTGAAGAGGAAGCAGATAGAGGAGGAAGAGCAGAGGCCCCAGCACAGAACCTTGTGGGACACCATGGGAAAGAGAGGTGGTGGAGGACCTAAACTTGGAGACGGCCACAGAAAAGGAGCGCTCAGAGAGATAAGAGGAGAACCACTCCAGAGCAGATCCTGATAGGCCTACCCAGTCTCTCAGCCTCTCCAGTAGCAGGTGATGGTCAACAGTGTCAAAGGCTGCAGTCAGGTCCAGCAGGACCAGAACAGAACAGTCCCCTGCATCACTGTGGGTCAGAAGGTCAATAGAGACCCTAAGAAGAGCTGTTTCAGTAGAATGAGCTCTACGAAAACCTGACTGGAAGCTATCATAGATATTATGTTCATCAAGAGCAGCTGTGAGTTGTTTAGCCACAACCTTTTCCAAGATCTTGGAGATGAACGGAAGTTTAGAGATGGGTCTGAAGCTGCTATGGAGAGAGGGGTCGAGACTCGGTTTTTTAAGAAGCAGGTGGATTACAGCGTTCTTAAAGTAAGCAGGGACCTGACCAGAAACCAGAGAGCACGCTGGGACCGATGGACTGAAAAGCATTTTTAAACAAAGATGAGGGTAAGATGTCGAGGAGGCATGCAGAGGTCTTCATAGAGTTAACTATTTTGGTTAACTCAGGCAAAGAAACTGGAGCAAAGCTATCTAGGATGATGGGTCTGGTTGGAGTCGGGAGAGGCAGCGAGAAGGCTGAAGGAGAGATGCTAGATCTAACCTTATTGACTTTGTCCACAAAGAAAGACAGAAAGTTCTCACAGTCTAAAACAGAGTGGATGGAGGCTGTAGGAGAGGCAGGAGAGACGATGCTGCTGATGGTGTTAAACAGCACCTTGGGGTTCCCTTTGCTCTGGGACACCAGGTTGGAGAAATAGGAAACCCTAGCGTCTCTGACTGCAGAGTTAAAGGATGTCAGAAGATCCTTTAGGTGCAGCAGATGGACGTGGAGATGGGTTTTCTTCCACAAACGCTCAAATTTTTCTGCACTGGCGCTTCAGGCTGAGAAGGCTGTCATTAAACCAGGGAGTAGGTTTCACTGCAGGAACTGATCTGGTTCTGACAGGACAGATGTTGTCCAGAATGGAGAGGCAGTGCTCGTTGAACTGGGAAGTTAAGGAATCTGGGTCGTTATCAGAAGAACAGGGTGGATCAAAAGCAGCAGAACATTAGCTAGCTGTGCTCTCATTAAGAAAACGAGAACTAACCATACGACGAACAGGAGGTGGGGACGCAGAAACTGACAAGTTAAAGAAAATGCAATGGTGATCTGAAATATAAACGTCCTCAGGGCAAACGCTGTCAGCATTTAGACTCAGGGTAAAAACAAGGTCTAGAGTGTGCCCCCTGGTGTGTGTGGGGCTATAAACAAGCTGGGTAAAGCCAAAGGTGTCCATCAGGCTGGAGAAATTCATGGCAAAGAGATCGGAGGGATCATCAACGTGGATGTTAAAGTCACCAACAATCACCAGTCTGGACAGCTTCACAGTGGAGGATGGAAAGTCACTAAACTCCTGAAGGAAAGAACTGTTTGGACCAGGTGGACGATAGACCACAGCACAGTAGAATGTGACCTTATGCCTGACTTTAACCAGCTGCAGTTCAAAGGAAGCAAAGTGACCAGAGGTTGTAGAGCTACATGGAAGATGGTCTCTGAAAACAACAGCTAGGCCTCCACCACGACCAGAACCCCGGGGCTGGCTAAGAAAAGAATAACCACTCGGGCAGAGTTCAATCAGACCAGAATAATCAGATGTTTGCTGCCAAACTTCAGTCAGAAACAGAAAATCCAGGTTGTTAAAGAGAATTAGATCATTGAGCAGGAAGGACTTATTGTTAACAGAGCGGGTATTTAATAGAGCCATGATGAGTGAGGTGGAGGAATCAGAAACTACAGAAACAGCTGGAGTTAGTGGACGTAAATTAGCAGGGTTAGATCCACGGTGTTTATAAAAACCACTTATGGAAGGAACAGGAGGAGAAACCACTGAGGATTGAGGATAAACCGATTTTAAAAAACTTGGACGGATGAAACGCGTCGCAACTCGGCCTGGCGGGAATGCGGAAGTGGCGCTCAGGTCACCAAACAAAGGACAAGAAGCTAGAAGATCGTGCCGATGTTTAATAGATAAACCACGCTTTAAGAGAAGTCGTATTCTCACCTGGATTCCTGCCCGTTTACCTCTTTTCCTCCGACGTTTTCCCGGGACCGAACAAACATAGCTGGAGGTGCACAGCTCGGGACCGTAGTTTGGCTCCGGGCCAGTGCGCCACTCAGGTAAACAAACAGGATGGAACGTCCTCGGTGCATCTTGGGCGATCGTGAACGAACGGAAGGACAAAAGAGTCTGGCGATCATAGGAGATGGTAGCAGGGACACTACTGAAGAGGATCACAGACAGGAGCAAGGTGGAAAAGAGGAGGTTAGTGGAGAAAAGTTTGAAAGAACAAAACCTTGCTCTTGTGTGGAGACTTTAATATTAATATAGAGCAGCCTGCTGGACAGAAAACAAATGATTTCATCAATTCTATGTACAGTTTAGGATTATTTCCGTTAATCACCAAACCAACCAGGATCACAGCACATAGTGCTACTATAATTGATAATATATTTACAAATAAAAAAGATGATGTATTGAGGAGTGGGGTATTGATAGCCGATATTAGTGATCATCTGCCTGTCTTTGCAGTACTGAAAAATAAACAATTGATAAAGCAAGAAACCTCGTTAAATTACAAACGAGATAGATCATTTAGAGCATGGGAAGCGCTAAAGAAGGATCTTGAAATGCAGAATTGGGAGGAAGTATATGTAAGGGATGTCAACACTGCATATAAGTCCTTCATGAAAAAATTGATGAAATTATATAATAATAATTGTAAATTATTCAAAAGTAGTGGTAAAAGGGTAGATCAACCATGGATGACTAAAGGAATAAGAAATGCATTTGCAAAAAAAAAACCCAGCTGTATAGGAATTTTTTAAAATCACAGACAAGAGTAGCAGAAGACCGATATAAAAAATATAAAAATAAATTAATAGCAATAATTAGGAAAAAGAAAAAAGATTATTATGGT